TGTCATGAAATTATATTATAAGAACATCTAATTATGAGCAGTACCTGATTGATCTGCTCCTCAATTTTGTTTGAAAGGATCATGAAACTGATCACAGACGAAGAAGAAGAAGAAGAAGCCAATGAGAACGAGGGAGACACCAAAAGGACAATTCAGCTCGTAATCATCGACGCCTCCAGTAAGTTTCACTTCCTTCTTGTGAGCTGAAAAAAGACCTTTTCATTGATAAGTGGAAAGTGCAAGACCTGTCATCACTAAGGATGGCTTCTTATTCTTGATAACATTAAAATAATGGGTTCATTATTGTTCTATAATGGCAGATTTAATGAACATCGACACGTCAGGAATTGCTTCTCTAGAGGAACTACACAAGAGTTTGGTTTCACATGGGAAACAGGTGAGCAAGGCCCAGTAATTATTGTTAAGATGGACATGACTTGGTGTGATATGTCGCAATTTTCGTCTTCCTAACAAATCTATCTATTGACCTACTCTGAGGGAGTCTCTCAGTTAGCAATCGCCAACCCCAGGTGGCAAGTGATTCACAAGCTGAAGGCTGCTAACTTCGTCAGAACAATCGGTGGAAGGGTCTTCTTGACTGTTGCGGAAGCTGTCGGGTGTAAACTGGATCCAGTCTAAGGATATATGTATGGGGCAAACGGAACAAGAGCTTAGCTCCTTGACGACTTGGACTTGCAGTAGTCCCTTAATTAGTTAATAATCTTGTGTGTATGTTGTGGAGAATAAGTTATATGGGGGCTTTGTATTTGCACTATAGTGGCGTGTCATGTGTGCCTACTAGCAGAACTGCTTGAGATGCGTATGAAATTTATGCACTCGGGTGTTCCTCTTTATCTTCCCTTTCTCTAGCATGTTGCCTTAAAATACTCTTACAAGATATAATTGAAACGGAATTAGGATTTAGAATAGAATGAAATTGGGATAAAACTATGGTAATTAAAAGATATATTTGATTATATTATGGATCTAAATATCGGGCTTCACCCCAGCTCTTTTGTGAGACTTAAATTGTCATAAATCAATCATGTTTGGGAACGAGGGGAACAGAGAATTCACGTTGACTCGTTTCTGCGATAGAGTAAAAACACAAAGGGAGTCTAATTGTTGGACAAATTGAATTTATTTACAAATGAAGACATACAATTAAAGAATCTGAATGAAGAAGTAGAATGCAATATAAAGAGACAAATTCGAGTTGCGGGTTGTGTCTCCTTTTCAGCGTTCTGGAGAGTCTTGACCATTCACAAATGCGTCTCAAATTGTTACTTCAGTGGTTCTTTGTTCCTTGGACGAATCAAGAATAGAACAACCCCTCTTCCGCATGCTCATCCTGTCCTTCTACAAAAACTGAACAAAACTTGTGGCCTTCTCTTCCCCACAAGGACCTTGTCAAATTAAAGTAGAAAAGAATAAGATTTTCCTCGCAAGCGGCGGCGCGGCGTTTCCGTCTTGATTATTCTGCCTCACCTTAGCAGTGAATGAGAATGCTTGAGAATATGGTTCAGAGGCTGGTTCCCTTGAGCTTTACACAGAAGGCCCTTCACTCTTTCCGTCATCTGCATTTCATTGAGTTTCATCGTCATTGTTAACGGCTAGCTTCTATCACCCGATCGAGACGAAAATGCTAGTATATATGTGCATAAAGAAAGAGTTGTATAAATAAAACCTTTTCCAAACTTCCCCTTGCATAGGGGACTGCCCTCTGATATCCCAGTGAAGTTGGGGGAGATTTCCTGCTTGTTTCTTCTTTGCATGTTGATTTTCCATTCGTTCTGCTTCGCGTCATAATATGAGAAGTCCCATACCATCTGCTCTGCGATGTACTTGGGAGACTTGATTCCTGACATCACCCGGTCGCCATTACATAGGGCACGAGAATATTCGCTGCTATAAGGTAATTAAAACTAGCAGAATGTGCAGATAATAGCTGCATTTCATTACCAGAAACAATACAGTTGCACAATGCTTGAGCACCTCCAAGTTCATGCGAACGTCATCCAGGCTTCTGCTTCGAATTGGACATAAGGACCAGAATAATACAATAATTTTCACTTAAACCAATGCGATACAGAAGCTGTATAACCATAGAAATCCATACCTGTGCTTTTGCTCTCCGAGACCAAAATAAGAAGCCAATGTTGCCATCTACACCCGTAAACAAAATTTAAGATTGTTGTAGAGAATCAAGTACTAGAACTTTGGCTTTATAGAAACTCATTATTTCTTACGTACCTTCATATTGCCAGCTCTTCTCCCAAACTTCTCAGTTAGGATCCCAAGCGAATCAATGATTCCAACTGGTACTGGTGCTGGCCTGCCGATATCTTCAAATGCCTCTTTGATACGAACACAATCGAATCTTCGGATGTTATGACCTGCCCACACCCTTCCATTTAAAATACTGAATATCTTTTCGGCAACTTCCTCAAAATATGGTGCATTTTTCACGGCCGCGCGTGTTATGCCATCGCATCTTCTGGGTTTCACTGAGACCACCGATAGATCTTTGGGTCTGATGAGAGTCGTATAACTTTCGAGCTCGACTAGTTTTTGGGGGCTGACCACAATTGCACCAAATTCCAGAACCCAGAAACGTTGTCCACTTTTGTTGGGTACTGTAGTTTCCAAATCAAAGAATACAATTTCCGGTGCGTTCTCGTTGGCTGAATAAGAGACCTCCATTATTCTCTGCCTGTTTCCTTTAACTTGGATTTGATTTGTTGGGTGATTAGCAATATAAATAGGAAGTCGTTTGAAACAGAAATATGGAGGAGGAAGAAAGCCCAGACTTGTTGAGATTGATTGTCTTTTAGTTCAAGTAACTGGGTTGGGTTTTGCATGAAGACGAAGAGGGTCCTTAGCTTCTTGAGGATGTAATGTTCAATCTGAAGAAACTCCTGCTTAGAGAGGAATATGAGAATAAAAAAGAGAAGATTACCTTTTCATTCCTTCTGTTTTCTGACGTGTTTGCCTGGAAAGCAGGTTGCTTCCAAATTTCAACGAAGTTTTTTGGAAGGGAAACTTGTGCAACTGGGACATTGATGATGAATATTTTGGGACATTCCAAGGAGTCTGCTGTGCAGGGGAATTGATTCCCAGAGCTACAAAGGAATAACGAACCTTCAATTAATATATGCCTCAACATATCCCCAGTAAGGGTTCATTCTTCTCTACCGAGTTGGAACTCTGATGGCCTCTCTGGGAAATTTGTGTCATGGTATGCCGCTTTTGTGGGTGAACTTGTTTCGCACGTTGTTCTTGTTTGTTAAAAAACAAATAAAATAAAATATGAAAAAGATAAGACAAGCACGTATCCAAAAATAAATCATTTAGCCGTAAAAGGTTGGAAAAATATTCATACATCAAGTAAAAAAATTGTGTGGTCGTGTGTAAAATATATTTTTTGATTTGCTAAACTTGAATGTAAATATTTTTCAATTTATAAAATTCATGAACAATTAAATTTATACAAAACATTTTATTTTTTTATCTCACTTTTTGTTGTCTATTTCTTAATCTCATTGATATGTAGTTTTCCCCCCAAAAAAAAATTCTTTTACTTATTATTTTTACAATGAAAACGGACATTTCATTCATACTTAATAAGGCCAAAAACAAGTAAAATTATATTACCAAACAGAAAAAAAAGTAAGCTAGTTCAAACAAAGAAAGGGGTAAAATTACTCGTTTTCTTTCTGATAAAATTATTTGGTATTTACTATTTAGTATTACAAATTCAGACGATTATAATTATCAGAGCCAAATAGAAAATAATTCTTTCTATGTGATTTCTCTTCTTCGCAAGGATCTTGACTTTGTTCAAGGCAACATTAAGCTGTTTTTACCGCAAAATCATTTAAGGGGGTGTTTGGATAACCTCAAACCATGGTTTGGAGAATAGTTCTGAAAATAGATTCTGGAGAGAATAGATTTGAAAGAATAGCTTTTTTAAAAAAATAATTCTGATAAAGTGAGAGTGTTTAGATAGTTGTTGTCAAAAGTGCTTTTTTATATGTAAAAATTACTAAAAAGGACATAAGTTTAAATGATAATTACATATAAGATATATTTCATAATATATGTTTATTTGAAGTAAATAAAAAATATTAATAAAAAAATTAATACGTATATATATTAATAAAATAAATAAATTTTTATTTTGCAAAATAATTTAATAAAATATTAAACATGTATATATTAATAAATAATATATATTAAATAATTAAAATTAAAACGTATATATATTAATAAAATAATTAAATATGTTTTTCGTAAAATAATTTATTTTGTCAACCAAAAAATATAATTATTTAATTCAATTTAATTAATGCATGAGAAGTTTGAATGCAAAGGAGCCGTTGCCGACAAAAAGAAAAGATGAAATAAGAAAAGTCCAACGTGTGGGGGCCACTCAATCCAATATATAGAGAATAAAAAGCGGGTCGCGTGCTGCTTCAGCTGAAACCAAAGTTTCAAGATCAAAACCATGGTTTTCAAAAAAATAGGAGTGTTTGGCAAAAAACCCAAACACCCCCTAAATGTTGAAGACAAAAATTAACTATGAAAAATAGCAATCACGTAATCAATAATAAATAACAGTGCTTACCTCCCCCCCCCCCAAAAAAAAAACTTCGACATAGTTTGTTTTTATTCCAGTATTATAGAATAGCTTACGACAAATTTTGCGCATAAGCCCCAGACTGAGTTTTTTCTTTTTTTGGCCTTTGACCGAACGCAAGGGTGAGAATAGAATCGGTCGCGGAAGCGAGAGGGCAGGCGTCATGCCTACTACCAACAGTGCTCATTATAAAATACCATCTCCCATCTTTTTTTTTTTGGACACTATCTCCTATTATTAAGATATTTGCATTACAAAATAGATTTTATAAAAAAAAAAAAAGAGGTAACAGTGAGTTTATGCTCATCGACAGGTACATATGCAGTTGATTCTCTAAGAAGGTGCTTCATGGCAGAGGGTGAAAGAGAATATAATATTAAATCTTACAAGACCTCAAATTCCACAAGCAGCTACATCTTTCATTCATCATTCATTATTTTGAGAATAAACGTTCCACAATTGCACATTGCCAACCCAAAAGAAAATACAATAACAAGGACACAGTACATAATTCAATGACAACCCAAAAGAAAATACAATAACAAGGACACAGTACATAATTCAATGACAACCCAAAAGAAAATACAATAACAAGGACACAGTACATAATTCAATGACATTATACAAGGGCGACAGAGGCTAGGGTGGTAAGTGCTTTCTTAATCCTCTCAACTGCTGCCTGCAAGGTAGAGAGTGACGCTGCATAAGAGATGCGAATGCAACTATCGTCTCCAAAGGCACTCCCGGGTACAACGGCAACCTGTAAATCAAGAGTAAAAATATAAATTCAATAACTTCAGGATCCAAGGCACTAGAAGTTTTGCCCCTGCAGTGGATGAAAGTGTGCAGAATTCCAACTAATTCTAAACGAAAGATGTGAAGCGAGTGTACCTGGCCCTTGTCCAGCAAGTATCGACACATTGACTCGGAATCCTCAATTATACCAAATCCTTCAGCTTCTCTTCCATAGAAGGAGCTGATATCAATGAACAGATAAAATGCGCCCTACAAGCGTTAAGAAAGTCTACTTAAGGTCTCATACAGGCAGAAAGAGAGAAAAATCACAATGCGGATAATCATTATGCAATAAGCCAATAAATATCTGAGTTCGAACCCGGGGTTCTGAAATCCTGACACCATCTATTTCACTAAAACTTTTAACCAAGAAGTCCCGCCGCTCCCTAAATGCTTTCACCATCTTGCCAACTGCCTCCCCACCCGCTTTGCCAAGACCTAACGCAGCAACTCCAGCTTTCTGAGATATGCTACAGGCCCCCGAAGTGAGCTAAATTTGACAAAGCACAGAAGGTTGTTATATGCAGCATCAATATAGATAAATAAACTAACCCAAAGCAGTTACTTTGTTTCAACAAGTCAATTACAAGTTACTGCATATTATAAAAACTAAGCATGTAATGGATGTCTTGAAGAAAATGTTAATCAAGAAATATGATGCAAGTTTTACAAGCTGAGGTGGCCAATAAAAAAGTACAGCATACCTGACTCTGAAGCTTTCCACATGCTGTAATAAAATGCTTTGGACCAGCAATATACCCGAGACGCCATCCAGTCATTGCAAAGGCCTACAGGAAGTCTCAAACCATAAAAATCCTATCCTGGGAGTTCTAACAGCATATCATAATTATGTTATGATCTACACTCACTAGAAGAAGTAACTAATATCATTAAGCTGAAGGTAAGAACAGGGAATTAACAGCCTAAAGATCAATAATACACCCAAAAACAGTATAGTAACAAATAAAACTTATTCCTCGGGATATTAGAAGTCACTACTCTACCAGTAGACAAATGAATCACCACAGACTAACCTTAGAAAATCCATTAACAGTTAGAGTCCTATCCCACATGCCTGGTAAAGATGCAAAGCTTGTGTGAGTTGCTGGCGCATAAATTATGTGCTCATAAATTTCATCAGAAAGAACCTGCCCAGTAAAACCATTAAGATCTCCAAATCCCAGCCATCGTTTTAGCTTAGTATACTATGAAACACCAGAATTGATCACAAATATAATTGTACCAGAAGCCTGGGGTGTTTTGCCACGATCTTAGCTATTTCTTCAAGTAGTTTTTTAGGGTAGACAGATCCGGTTGGGTTAGATGGTGAACAGAGAATTAGCAATCTTGATCTGTCAGTTATTTTGGACTCCAGGAGTTTTGGATCTAACAAAAAATTGTCAGAAATGCTTGTTGGTAGGATCACAGGCTTTGCATCGGCCAACCTTGCCATTTCTGGGTAGCTAACCCAATATGGAGCTGGAATAATGACCTGCGTTATTCATAAAACAGGATTATAAGCATCTCAAGAACACAACATAACTTAGTATAAATTGCCCAAAAAGAACATAAAAAAATATTGATATAAATGGAAAAATGTCGCTAAGGGTGCGATGACTTTTTAAATGGCTTGACTCCAAGCATAGTAAGAACAAAACAACCTGAAATTAAAACATACATTCAAACTTAATTAGAGAGAAGTGAAACATGGATGAAAGTCTTTTAAAAAACGTGTCCTGGAAAACAAGACAAGTGAACACGTTCAAACAGACTGCAGACAGTTCCTGTGAGTGCAAACATTAACAGAAGAACAGAGAGAAAACTTAAAATTTCATGATGCAGGAAAGAACAAAGATTCGAAAGCCTATGCCATAGATGATGCTAGTATAGTAATTCACACAAGTCCTAATAATTTTACAGCACAGCTGCATCCAATGTTTTATCAATTGGGTAACGCCCTTCACCTCATCTCCAGGGGAACAGACTGCAAGAACTGCTTGAACAAGACTCTGCTTGGCTCCATTACTGACAACAATTTGATCAGCAGCATAAGTAAGTCCATTCTCCTCTGCAACAACAATACCGGCATACATTCATGCTCGTCCCAAAAAATAAAATAACATAAAATAAGGCATGTGAAGTGAGTTAATTCTCTACAAAATGCTTTGAACATGTAGACTGACCTTTTAGCTTATTACAAATTGCTTCGCGGAGCTCTAATGTACCCGCGTTTGGGGTATATCTCGTGTAACCTTCGCGAATTGCATTTATTCCGGCCTATGCGAATTTAAAATAAAATAAAATAAAGTGTGGCTTCAACAGTAGTTATATAGCAAGGCGGAGATAAATTCGATAAACAAGGAACCAGCTCTCACCTCAGCTATAACAGCCGGTGTATCAAAATCAGGTTCTCCGGCAGCTAACCGGATAACGGGAACACCAGCCTGTACAAGAGCTGTGGCTTGGTCACTTATGGCCACAGTCTTGGAAGGTTTCACAGAGTTTACTCTTGGGCTCAGAGAAATATCAACGTCGATTTCATCTAAATTACTTTTTGCCTTCACCAGCATAACGTTATAACTGAACCCTACATGTTTTCGAGCTTTCAGACTTCTACAAAAAAAAAAAAAAGGAAGAAGAAAGTGCATTATCAGCAATCAACATCGCATAAAGAACCAGAGAAACGGAAACCAAGATTTACTCACTTGAGAGGAAAATCCGAAAGCTGCGACGAAAAGGAAATTGATCTAAAAGCACTCTGAGAAACCTGACCAACACCAAGCCATTGGTCTCGAAGTCCCACGCGGGAGGTGGTCGTATGATATAACGAATTGGCCATTGAAATTACAGAATGGAGAACCGAGGGTGAATTGCTGGGAAAGAAATTTCACAACCAAGCACAATGAGCAAAGAAAATGTTGAATTGAATCCTTCAAAAGAGAGTCATTCCCAAAGAAAAATGTTCACCTAACGCAATGAACAAAGAAAATATTGTTTCGAACTCTTTAAAGGAAGAGAGCGAGAAGAGAAGAGAAGAAAAGGAAGGAGAGTCGGACTCGGGGGGGGGGGGGGTTTGGTGGGAACTGGGAAGGAGGGTTGGTGGGATGAGGCGGGGGACGTAAACGGTCAATCAAGATTCAAGAGTGCGTTTTTAGAGCGTTTTCGGAGTTGGACGCGCGTTGGAGAGGAAACGTACCTATCAGCTTCCCACGGGACACAGATGCTTGGCTTCCTATTTTTGTCAACCACGTTTTGTCAAAAATGGGCTTCGACTAGAAACTCATATATGGTATGAGAGTAGGGTTTGAGAGGCAAATAATGGAAGCAGAGGGAACTTTGCAAAATTGGAGGGGAGCAAGATGAGGTCATGAGGCCAGAGAACTGGGGACCGGATGAAACAGTACCAAGCATAAATGGAAGCAGAATAATGCACAGGAAAAGAAAAGGGTTGAGACTTTTACATAAACAAACAAATTGTTATCACTTGCTTCTTATTTTTTATTTTATTTAATTACTCTTTAGAGGAATAATGATGATTAAACATGTTAGCATTTAGCCTGCAGATTTAACAAAAAATTGGAAAAGAAATTAAGCCATCCTCAAATCTCTCCAAGATTGTCTAGAAAATAAAAATCATACCTTTTCTAATATAAATAGCGTTATAACAAATCCACTTCTGAATAAAATCGATTGTGCAAAAATCAGGTTTACTCAAACTCAAATTTGCAAATACGAACGCAAGCGTACGGCGTACCTGAGGCAGCAGCTAGCGAGAAGCCCAGGAAGAGCAACGTGGGTCGTGGTAGACCGGAAAAGAGGATACAGCATTTATATAGAACCCACTGGGCCGATATCTGGGCCCTCGTCATTGGATAGATAATGGTGACGATGATCATAGGACAGTGAGCCCATATGCAATAATGTTATGCTCTATATTGAGCTCGTGTAATTTTTTATGATATGTATGGTGTCGTCGCGTTGGTCTACCTTGCAAGTTGCCGTTCAAAGCTCAGAAAGAGATGCGGTGACCCATAAGAAAATACAAGAGATCACAATATGCTGTTGAATTATTTTATGCTGTTAAATCCGACATTATGGTGCATTTGTTTAGGTGTGTATTGAAATGTAGTAATAATGTTACGTCAGAGGGAAGGGAGGTCAGATTATTGCGTTCCTACTCCCTTGTTTATCTCTCCTATCAGCCCCCGGCTGCCACTGCTCATTGAACATCACAAGTAGTTCACCTACCGCACAAAAATAATTGCTCTCACTGTGTTCTTTTATTTCTTTTTAATAATAATGTAACAGGACACGTTGCTCAACGCATTACCCCTTCTTTTGCTAACTTATATGCCTCCGGTTCTAAATATAAGGCCCATTTTATAGCATAAATTACACTACAAATGAATCTTATATTTAAGACCCGATGAGTAATAAAAATTAAAGGCAAGTTAAGTAGGACTTATGGAGGGGAAATGAGTTACAAACGGTAAAATGGAAGCACAGTCGCACACCCTTCATCATCATTTCCGGTGTTCTTTTGCTAGAATCGATCAATCAATAAAATGCCATCACATTTGCGATCTAACTCAAGAAATTTCCTTGCCCCATAAACATTTGTCGATATTCATGCTAGAGGTTGTTGATCCCTCTCCTAAAATGATTTCTTTTTCATCAGTTGTATTTTGATGCGTTCAAATTCTGGCATCTTCAGGTTTATGATTGTGCATCGTATGTAGACTTGTTTTAACTTGCGCAGTGCGTTCGAATTTCGGCTAAGATGTAACATAAGATGCCCATTGGGTGCCTAAGGTGTAAACATCATCGATGCATGTATAATAAGTCATCGAAAAGAATATAGCAACAGCAACAGCAACAATCTATATCAACTTAGCAGTACATATAAAGATTGATAACCACCCATACCATTCATAAATTATATGAGAATCTGTGAGATGAAATATGAACGAAGCTGCAGTCGTCCTGGACTTTCCATTGTAGGAAGGGGACCCCCTTCTCTCAGCACTCGACAAGGAATGGGATGTGGGCAGATCAGAAGGGAATGAACGTACTAATAATAGTTAGGAAAATTATCACTTCAGTTTCCTCGATAATGTTGCTTTTAGTAGTTTATTTTCGTAATTTTCCATCCTTATATTTGATTTCACTGAAACGTCAGTTCCTTTATCTTAAAAAGTATTTCGAAGAAGCACAAGCTGGCCAAAATGATATTAATTCTGCTGACGTTCAATGCCCTAATACTTCTCTAATACCCCTCTCCCTCACTTGTGCGTTTTCCTTTTAAGGAAGTGATATTCCTTTTTCTATTTTTCAATCGAACCAATTTTTTATTCAAATAATTTTAAAAGTTTTCCCAGGTCAGCATGTTTTTCCTCCTAATGAGCTCAACAGTGTTAAGTCCATCTTGAGCAAGTGAAATTGTTTGGGACAGCTCATGATCGTTCTAAGTACTACTCCCAGTTCTTCATATAGTAGTTAATTTGATTTTTAATTTGATAATAAATATAAGATCCTAATTTACTATCTCTTATATTTATCCATTTTTTTTCAAGATAGTCCTTGTAGTAATTACACATGTTAAAAGTTTCATCAAGAGATAGTTCTAACTAATACACATGATTAACAAAGATATTTTAAGAAAACAACACTTATTTATTATAACTAATAACTAACTTATACTTAATTTTTTTAATTTAATTTACTCAAATTAGTCAAGTAGCTCTTATACTAATGATTTCAAAATAAAAGGATAATGTATCAGACAGTGCAAAAGTTTTCTCTTGATTGCATATAATATAACTTGCGCAGAGGGCAGCAAAATAGAGAGCGATATGCCCATAATTTTAAGTTAGCCAGCTACAAGTTGAAGAGGTACGCCAATTTTTCCTACTTCAATACCACCGCCTCGTTTTCTGTTAACAGAACTGTCGATTTCGTTTGGTCTCAACATCTCCATATCATCCACAAGAAAACTACCATCAATGGTAAGGCTCAAATTCCATGGGGAAGGGACTGTCAGCAGTAATAACAACGACTACTGAACAAGTAGCCAAGCCCTCAAGCTAAAATAGTCACCAAGGAAAAGCAGCAGCTCTATAATATGAGCAGCAGAAATTTAGAAAGAAGGCTCCAAGCCCAACACAAGGCTCAACACCAGAACGACAAACAATGTCCAGGCGTTGGTACCACAGAGAGACCAAAATGGCTTGAATCCAAAGTGAGAAGCAGTTTTGGCGCCAAAAAAGGTGAGGTGCGGCGAGCTAGGAATTGGATTATGGGATCATACTTTTGCATAAAATCTGAGGTGAGTCACACTATTCATAAGTTATAACTAATATGATTTTCCCATAGATCAAAACTGTTAGTATTACAAGAGGCAAATCAAGAAAACTATCGGATTAGTGTACGATAGATAAATGAAGGGGACGCAGTAATTTGGAAGACAGTCAATCTATCATCAATAAAGGCCACATGTTTGTCACATGAAAGTTTCACTGATAATCACACGTGAAAATACCACAAGGGCCAATCACATAGTTTTAGCACCATGAACCCCTACTTCAAAAGATTCCCCTCAAGCATAGTGGAAACCTTTGCCAGATACCAGCTATGAGGCAGATTCATTAAGACATTTCACTGATTTAAGCTATTGTTTTGCTGAACCTTCGAATTTCCAAAGACCAATTCAACATACGCAAAAATAGTAGAAGACAATATAGGAATAACACTTCCGAACGGGCTGTATCGTCCATAATTTCACTAGGGGCTCATTAAACAAAGCATCAAGCTCATTGGGATGCAATGATTCCCATTCACCTGATTCCTTCATTCCTGAATACCTTATTCTATCACACAAACCAGATTGAAGCCACATTGCACTTCACTAAAAGACACATGGTAGGTCAAAGAAATCAGAAATGAGTGAACAAACATACCAACAAAAAGTAATCCTGAAGTTGGAATAAATAAAAAATGAAAAGTTAACACCGTATCATTAATATAGAACACAAATTTACACATTTCAAGAATGTCACAAAAAGAAGCTCAAAAGAAAATAGGATCCTGGGGGGGAGGGGCGGATAAGATACCTCATGCTCGGGTACATGTTGCATCAAAGTCATCCGGAGCAACACGTGCTATCCAATTGCTGAGCGTTTTCTTGATATCAGAGTGATTAACATACGCTAACTCGTACATACTACATAAATTCACAACAAGCGTCTCATTCAGAGCCACCGTAGGAACTCTTTCAAGCGCATTTTCTAGGACTTTGATGGAATCAGACAAATCCCTCAAATACATCAAACAAAGGGCTTTATTATTTATAGCCAGTACGTCCGCATGGTCTCTGTCAATGCACTCTTCATACTCTCTCACAGCGGAGATGTAATCCTTCCCAACCATATATACTAAGGCCTTATTTCGGCTCACAAGATTCTTAAGCTCAGTCTCGCTCAGTGATCCATTAGTCTTATTCTCTTTCATCAAAACCTCGATCTGATTGAACGAAGCTTTCGCGCCCTCTAAATCACCAATTTGCATTTGAATATACCCTAGTTTCGAAATTAATGTGGCATCCGAAGAATCATGATTAAGCAAATCTTTAATCAAACTCAATGCTACACTAAACTCTTTGTTGGTCAAGTGGTACCCGATTATTGAATTCATTACAAACACCTCCCTTTTTCTCCACACATCAAGAGAAACACCAAGACCTTTCATTTCCTTCTCCTTCAACTTCTCACGCACAAAATCAAGGAGAATGTACATCCTATCTATACCTTCCTGGCGTTGACCTAATTTAATAGGGACCACCGCGTGAAGCCACCGAATGCAGAAAGGCACCATGGAACCGGATCGATTAGGATAAATCTTCGGATATGTTTCGTACTGGTAGTGAGAACTGTTGAGATCTTCCATGGAATCGAGCTCAGCAGATGCTTCATTGAAACGGCGCAGTTTTGTGAAGGCGAGGACGTTGTAGGCGAGATAGGAGAGATGATCGTGGGGTTTTTTGAGAAGTGAGAGAGCCCTTGCTCGAGCAACCTTGTCGATTATCGAGCGCCAGGAGCCACGGGCAGCGAGCTCCTGTAGAGAGGAAAGCTCGTGGCACACGTCGTTGAGAGAGGCAAACTCATTAGTGAGCGGATCATTGATGGATAGCTTTTCCGTATCGGAGGTCACCGCCTGCAACCCTGAATCGACCAGATCCGAATCCATCACACGCGATGGATCAGCCTGTAACAAGAACTTCGCCGGAAGAGAAGCTACTTAACGACAGCAAGGTAAATGGATCGCCGGAGCTCAGCGCAGAGAAGACAGTGTTCCCGCCAGATGACTGCTTATTATCCTGCAACGGGACGGCCCTACGTCACCACTCGGCCCAAGCCCCAAGCTAAAGAGCGGGAGGGTTCTATCTTGATTTTGGGACGAGCTCGTAATTTCGTTCTGAACTCCGGACTCGTCCTGAACTCCGTACTTAGATGGGCCGCAGGATCAGGTGCCGGCCCATCAGATCCATAGGGTGCCGTTTAAATACATAAATATTTTAAAATAAAAATTACGAATTTTTTATACAAAAACAAAATTTATGAATAAAAATTATACTTTTACTATCATGTCATTTAATTAAAATATAGCAATTATAAATTTTCCAAGAACAATATATGATTTTTATACATAAGCATGTGATTTTCTAATTACTGTCAGGAAATTAATAATATTATACGATAGGAGTAGTAAAATGAGTGAGGAGGGTCACTTTTTTGACCCCCACACACTCGTTGTTGTTTTATTGTTTATTTGTTGTCCATTGATTGATATAATTGTCATTCAATTCAATTTTTAAAGTGTCAGTAAAAAGGGGGAAACGATAATTTTAGTTTAGGGACGTGAAAAGCAAGGAGGCAGAACTGTGCTTTTACGTGGGTCCCAGATTATATCCATTGTCATGGGTCTTGCCGAAGTGGCCAGCCTGCGCCTTACAAAAAGTCTAGCTCTAAGCACCCTTCGAAGTTGCTTGAGATTGCTTTATATCAGCAAGGAAATCAATGGCAGTCTCTCCTCTCCCCATTGCCACTGCAAGTCCCACTGTTCTTCAAATCTCTGCTACTCCCAAATTCACTCTCTCTTGTTCTCTTTCTTGTCATCCAAAAACCACTAGTTCCAGGCCCAAGCTTTCTTCATCCTCCATTCCTGCAACTAGGAAAACATTCCTGAACATTGGTATTGGCCTTGTAGCAGCCTCAGTCCTGGCCTTGACGCCCTTGGATGCCGATGCAACTAGAATTGAATATTACGCCACTGTGGGGGAACCTTTATGTGAACTTAACTATGCGAAGTCTGGTCTCGGTTACTGCGACATTGTAGAAGGACCTGGGGACGAAGCCCCCCTCGGCGAGCTTATTAATGTGAGACCCGCTCTGAATTTCCATTTTACCTCCCAGTTGCATGATTCTCTCCTCTCGTTTTCGTTTGGCTATTTGACATAAGCGTCTTCCTGGGTGCCAGTAGAATAAAAGTTACAAGCAATTAAGCATTAAGTATGAAATGTAAGAGGCATGAACTTTGGTGAAATTTTGAAAGCTATTGTCCCTAGCCAGAGCCTAGTTACACATGATGTATAATTAGTTCCTCTTCATTTTTGTGGGCATTATCCAGAGCAAGAATGTCGCAAAGCATGCAAGTATTATACAAGAAGTATTTAATCAGCTGTATTAGCAAGCACTTGAAATTTCAACTTCTAAGTGGTACCAATGACCTACAGGTTCACTACACTGCAAGATTCGCTGATGAGACTGTGTTTGATAGCAGCTACAAACGGGCTAGGCCTCTCACCATGCGCATAGGTGTCGGTAAGGTAAGATGTTTCTTCACGTTTGGTTTGTCTCTGCTATCAAGTATGTCATCGCTTGGCCTCATAGAGAGTTCCAGAATTGTTAGTTTAAAAAATGTGAACTACGTAACTAGAATTTTGAAGAGGGATGGGAAAAGTACTTTCCGTTGTTTGTTACTTATATTTTCACAACCGATCACTTATCAAGTATCTAAGTCCAGGTTATCAAGGGATTGGATCAGGGAATTTTGGGGGGTGAAGGAGTACCCCCAATGCGGATAGGTATGAAATAAAAATCGTCATGCCATATGTGGCATTTCAGTCGCTTTAAAGACTCGTTAATCTACCATTTTCCTTTTTCTTTTTTTTTGCAGGTGGGAAACGCAAACTAAGGATTCCTCCACATTTAGCATACGGCCCAGAACCTGCGGGCTGCTTTTCAGGTTGTTTATGATCATTTTCAACTGAAATTGCTAGACTGTAGTATCTATTAAGTCATCCAGTGAGAAGCTCCAGTTATCCCCCACATGCAACGCGTTTAAAATGAGACTATTTAGTAATAGATCCCTCTGGTCTTTTCTCATACTATTTTGACATTTCTTCATCTGAGAAGACAGCGAGTAGACCATGAACTTCCTTTAATAAAATCAAGGCTACCCATCTAAGGAAATGCTTTTGTTGCACTTGTTGAGGGACGTGATTTTTCTGGTTTAATGGTCATCGTCATCCCCTCCACCCCCACCACTAAATGTAGCGAGTAATTACTTTGAAACCTAGTCATTTGACACTGACACAATTAACACTGATTGTATAGGTGACTGCAATATACCGGGTAATGCCACACTTCTGTACGATATTAATTTTGTTGGTATTTATTCTGGTAATGCAAAGTAAGGGGATAGAAGATCGTCGGATTCATATATCCACCTGAAGCACACTTGGATCAAGTGAGTTCCTGATCTCATCAAGACATTGCTTCACATTCTTAGATCGTTAAGATGGCAAACAAGCATTTTTCCTATGCCTGACTCCTTCCATTAATATTTACTTAAATGAACATTGGCGAAGTGTTAACTTATATCATTAGCTACGTAATAGTTCAAAGTTATGTAGCTAGTCGGTTTAGCTTTTATAGTTAGCCTATATGTAGTTGTATTCTCGGTGTATATATGCCCCGATACATGATGAATAAGATGAGACTCATTTTTCTCCTAATCACACTCTGTTCCCCTGCAATCTTCTCAGTTCAGTCACAAAGATTCGTCAATACTTTGCATGACACTTGCTGATATGCTTTCTCTACTCTGTTCAGGTTTGACTAAACTAGGCATCGTTCTACAAGATAAGAGATATTAAATGGACATTTTGATGAGTGTAACTTGTTTGGCAGAATCTCCTTGCTTAGTCCGACCACCTCAAGTTACCGTTCTTCCCTGACAGGCGGACAAACGATTGATATTGATGCCCGTTTTCAGAGTAATGATATGGATATGTCCAGCAAGGTGTATCATTGAACATGAAATGGGACAACTTTGTACCTTCAGTGTATATGTAATTTTCAGTATCATCACCTACACTTGTATGTTTTTCCCTGAAACGACAGTGGGGTTCTGGATGCTTATAAATTAGAACAGTGAACTGCAAATTCGTGATTCTGAGTCTTGTTTTACTCGGTAGGTTAGGTGATATCTCCCTGGCAAAACTGGCTGCCAAAAATTGATTGCGACTTGCGATTTGTCAGGTAAACAGGTATATTAACATGGATACGTAACTTTAACTGCTGCGGCAAATGTTAAAACAATGTCTCTTGTCAATATTCGATATACATAATATAAAATTAACAATAAGACAAGTCAAGTCACGAGCAATGCGAAACATTTCTTCAGTTCCATGTAATGTGTTGGAGACCTACTTATTTTACATGAAATGACACTCGAGCTTTGTTTCCCTATCATTCTGGCTTTCTTAAGCATAATATGACACATTTCTATAGTCTTGTTCGTATACGATCATATTTTTGGGGAAGCAAACTTTTATACTAATTGTCGTGCTCATCAGGCTCTTTATGTTGAGATGGACTTTAATGTTGTTGATATCCCTCTTAGGTTACACAAATATTCTTAGTATAGACATGTGTAAGGAGTTTAATGCTCTTGAGTCTGTCTTTCTATTTTGAATGGCTTGAAGAGAAAACTAGGAAAAATTGTAGAGGATATCCAGGAAAAGGAAAACTTGAAAATTGGAGAGGAAACAGAATAAGAAAATAAAAGAACTCACATTGAAATAAAATTTTACAGTGCCATCCGGAAAATATATACTAATTTTTGTTCTCATCAATCATCTACATGATAGAGCAGGCGTTGGGGTTTTCATCGCTGAACATGGTAACATAAGGGTGTTCGTAACTTGTCACGGCTGCAGTGGAAGCAGTGTTCTCTACTCTCCTGACATAACCAGGAGGAGCCTTCTTGTCATAAGCTGGCGCAGCGTAAGGATGAGCCACTAAGTTGTATGGCACGTAGGGCCAAATCTCAGCCTTCTTCCCTGTTGATTTGGCCGCCTTGAGCACCTTGTTTGCTTCTACATACCCAGTTACTGTCACTTTCTGCTGCTTTCTGTTTATGTCCACCGATTTTACTCCTACAAAGACAATTAGCAATTATTTTATTTAAAGTTTGAATAATGATCGAAAGTTGAAAGAACAGGGGAAGATAGGGGAAGAGGAATTATGTAACTCACCACTTAAGGACGAGAGAGCCTTCTTAACCTTGAGCACACAGCCATCACAGTCCATCCTCACTTTCAGTTCCACTGTCTGTAATTGCTTCTTCTTCTTCTTGTGACGGTCATCACCGCCCATTAGATCAGACAAGTAATCCAGAGTGCCTCCAACTCCCATGTTATCTAAAAGAGAAGTATCGATACAATAGCTCAAGACTTGAGCACAGGTTTATAAGTATGATACAAACAAACGAAATAAGAAAGAAGCGTTTCAGAGAGAGATAGAGAGGGGGTGATAAAAAAAGAGAAGCAGATCGCAGATGGGTTCATGGGAATGTTTTAAGGTGAATTTATACACTGAAAACAGAGGAAGAAGCTGCTAGGAACTTGCTTGTTAAAAATGGATTCCTTCCTTACCTTCTAATAGTTAATTATGAACACGCTCCCCAGACTGCTGTCAAAAGCCTCAACACCTAACTTGTTTACTCGTTTAAGATCTTTCGCACCAGCGCTTCTTATAAAGTCATTTGATCAAACATTCATAGACAGGAAAGTGAAGTGAGGTATATTATATTATGTGAGGAGAAGTACGGATTATTATGATTATCACTTGACCGCGGGTGGCCCGTTTGGCGGGCACAGCTGTTTAGGAGCTGTTGGATGCATTTAAATTTAAATTATTTGAATTTGTTGAAACACACTAATCCACAACGCTTAGCAGCTACGGTTTGGGAAGCTTCTTTGCTCCCCGCAACGAGGAATACTCCATTCATTGTTGGATTGAATTATACAAGCCTTTCTTTCAATTAAATTATGTGCTCTTACTTGGCACCATTTAAAAAAAAAAAAGAACACCATATTTATTCATTTGTTTAGATGAATGATTGTCGCTTGCTGTTTTATATGAGAACAGTCCATAAGTGTGTGAGTGTGAAATGATTTTAAAAACGGTTGCGACAGGGGGATTGTTTGCAGTGTCCTAAATAAAGGACCCTGAAATAATTTGGGGGCAAAAAAAGAATCGGCTCACTTGAAATCAGCAGCTAACAAAAGTCCCAGCAGCGGATAATTTCCTTCATTTATTTGTGCATCTGAACTTTTGAGAGCAATAAAGAGAAACAAAGAAAGAAGAATAAGATAGGTATTTTTGTGCATATAAATTATAAACTAAGAACATTGGGTATTTTTGGCCTACCCCATTTCAATGGGAAGACTGTATTAATTTGCAATGGATGATAAAGCTCTCCTACATACTATCTCCGGACCTATTTATAAGACCTCGTTTATAGTTTATAAACAATATCTTATAAATAAGACCCGAGGTAGTAGTATTTAAGGATTTAAGGTGGCTGCATTCTTAGATTTTGAACTCGGGATCTCCAGTTACTGGTATAAGTTCCTATCACTTTAGCCAAGCGCTGGTTACTGTTGCAGCTCATTCTTGTTAAACTGGCTTGACGGTTTCTCCTTCTACGTCCCACGGTATATGAGGCCTCGATGTGCATGTGATTGGGATGACTAAAGCTCCCCTCCTGCATCAAACCTGTGGCTTTTGATTCAATCAAGGAGGTTGAAATTAAGGGACACTTGTACCTAAAAAAACCTGTTTGATAGGGACACATAGATGCCAGACAAAGCTGTCAATCTCATTCATTTAGAGGTAAAGTATAAATATGAATGGAATACAGTTGTACCCCTACAATCGCAGAGCCTGGGACTGTCAAATTACACAGATATTTGATTTTCATGTATATCTACAAGTTTGATAGTTTGATGAAATTATTACCACATCATGACTTGTTATATATAATACATGAAGTGCTGCAGCTTTTAGAAGTTTGGACTTACATCGCATTCACACACATGAATTTGTGTTTTGAAGCTCACTCGTTGTGAATAAGAGAGGACGGAAATATTGAAGTGGGTTTCTTCTTCTTGTTGGATGCAAGCTTGGCTCATTTTAAAAGAACCCTAAGCGGGGGCCCTAGCCATATCATCCATTCCTTTCCAACAATTTGCTAACATTTAATTTTAATTATTGAACTTCCCACCAAACAAGCCAACCTTCCGAACACGTCCCCCAACCCCACCCTACTAAAGGGTTCCCTTTTTCGGGAGTCCTCCAGCGCCCAAAAATTCATGGTCATACTAGTGTTATTTATATATTGCTACAGTTACTTCATTATTTAATAACATAGCTGAATTAATAGTTAGATTTTCATCTGCCAAATATTGAGTAGTAATAATTTATGTTAATACTAGTGTTCGTTTTCATATATGACGCTTGGCTAGCTCAATTTGAGGAGAAAATTAAGACAGACGAACTTATATGATTGTGCGGATAGAAGATCCTCCATATTAAAAGATTAATGGTTCCACAATCATGCCCTTCTTCCATCTTAGCTTGAAAGTCAGAAGGAACGCCTAGCACACGAATGTTAACAGAGCTGTAAACAGGGTAGCTAGTCAATTGAGCAACACATTCAAGTTGGCTAAAATGATTAAAAAAACAGAAAAATTAGGATATAAACTACTTTGTCCAAATGATTTGTTCTGATTTTGAGTATTAAATGTCGCATGCATCGAGTTAAAGGACAACAAAAAATAAAGGTCAACTTCAGGCTTCAGCTGGCATGCATAAGAATAGGATTGGGTGAAGTCGTGAGGGTATGACTTGTGAGATAATGCAATCTTGCATCAGCCACAGTAGATTTTTTTTTAATTCATCGTGTAAAATTCCATGACCATGAGCTGCATTACATTTTTTTTTTGTCCGTCCAATAATGAAATATATTGTTTCTCCCATACAAAATTATCCAAGGTGCTACATTTTACTACAGGACAAAAACAATTAACTTGGCCTTACAACTGTGTGATTAATATGAATGTCAAGATTTTCGCATCACCAAAAAAAAGTTCATGATTTTCAGCTCCATAGCAACCCTGTCCGGGCATGGTCCCCTGGTCAAAATATTAGAGTTTGTGATTAATTTTTAATATATTTTGAAGTAAAATAACACAAAATGAAAAAAATCTTCTAGTTGCAAATTTTGAAAATAACAATAAAAGAAATAAAATATACTGTAAAATGAAAGCACTGATGCTGAGAAGTATTTGGCACTCAATCATTTTGTTCTCTTGGTCTCGGTCATTATTGAATTTATCCGCAACGAACACTTCAATTTTCTGTGCTCCTAATATCACTCCAGCAAATTGGAGTTACATCTATGTAAGGAAAAAGATATAATCAGCCATTTCAGCTGACACCAAAGAGAAAATCTTGGCAAATCCAGCTGGCAACTTGAGAGAATCAGATAACCTCTGCGTGCTTAGGGATTAAATCAATACGGTTCTGTGAATATTCCTAATTTGAGATTTATGTAAGGCTAATAGAAGAGGCATAAGACTGAAGAAGAGTTAGAGCCTGCTCAGAAATAGCTCTGTTTCTTGCTTGTCTCACCCAATCCGCAACAATTTCTGCAGCTTGTGTGCCTCTGACACTCTCTTCCAGAACGTCCGCTGCTTCAGCAAGTTTTCCTTGAGCCAAGTAAAACTCAACTCTATTTATAATGGATTCAATCCCATCACCCAACTGGTCACTTTCCCTAACCTGAATTCAAGTCAGACACGAATATCAATTTATATCTGGTGAAGGAGGGTGTGCTCGACAGAAGTGAAAAGGTAAAAGCAAAGGAATGGCAATAGGAAGGTCAGTGTTCAAAGTACAATGTCTAAATTTCTTCCAAACACAGCCTCAAATGACCGGTTGGTGATTTGAAAATCATCTGCATACCTTTAACCAGCATGCTATATGAGCCAAAGAATGAGCCAATATCCCTCCACCCCCAGGTGGGAAGAAACTGAAGTGCCGGATTGCACCTTTTAGAGAATCAAACTGCCAAAGAAGAGGAACAAATTAGAAAAAAATAATGAACGAATTTGTAATTATAAAATTCATTGTAGACTCCAGAGTAAACATTTTTCAAAACATTGCAGCCAATAATAATGATGAATTAAGTAAAGGTGTGAAAAGAGATGGATTCAAATCCACGGACAAGTCTAACATCATCTTTTCACTTCACTCTCATACTTCTTGAGCACCCTTGTCCCAATAGTTACCGATGTCCATCAGATTGCAAAATGATGACAGTTAACGGAATCAAGAAAGGTAACAACTAATGTTAAGTTGAATAACAGAAAATTGCCTTCTGTTTTAACAGCAGCTGCGTGTCTGTGCCACTGTTCTTTGTCTCTTCAGGAAGGGATGCTAGCACCAATCCTAAAACTGAATCTTTATCCACGCCTTCAAGATATGGCTGCAAAGATGCAACTTCTTTATGAATAGGCAATCCTTTTGACAGTGCATCTTCCAGGGCAAGAGCTCCCTGCAGGATTCAGGCAGGTATAACAAATTGCTAGGCAAAACTGCAAACTTTAATTAAAATACCAGAGAACCACATTGAGCCTTTAGGCTCTTCTACGAAAGAAAGAGAAAAGAACAGCAAGATAAAAAATTGGATAAACAATTTACCATAGAAAAATGGTTTGCCGCATGACTTTGTCGAGCTTCTTCAGATCGAGCATAAAATGCCATGCTCAAGGCATTTATCTAGAATTGGAGGGAAAAAATTTTTAGGGGCTCAAAAATGACATGGATAATTGGAAGAAAGTGAACGAGTATGACTGTCGCAAGAACAAATATAGATCCCAACCAACCCTATCTAACCAAGCAATGATGACAACTATTGAAAAGTATAACCAATGTTTTGCCATTTTCATTATTAACAAGTATTCTCCGATAAATGCTTAGAACTTCTATTTGCATAACGTAACAAACTTGCAGAAGTTTCAGTACCAGCATACCCTATTTGAATGACAACACATTCAGATAAAGGAAAATAATCGTTTCTGTTGTAAAATGGTGACTAATCCGCATTCAGCACAAAGAATAAGACATGTCACAAATAAACTTAGTAGTGCAGTTAGTCATCTTCTGGGAAAAAAACACCCCAGGCCCAAAGACACATAATATTAACGCAAGAATGTAACTTCTTTTCACCATTTTTTTCATGAAGCACTCTGGGATTAATGCAACTGAACTAAAAGTAGTCTCTGACCGTTTATTCAATACCTAGGTGTACTGAAAAGTGTCTCAATAGAACAGGGAATTATTGAAACGAAATAGTGAAGTTGTTCTTTGTATCCACAGAGTCTCTATAGCATGTGATCAACTCTGCTATAATCGGGGGACACATGAACTAAATTTCTTTCCCTTCTGCATTCTCAAACAATTCCGTGATGTCCAAGCATGTATATGAACATGAAACATTTGTTCCCTAAGAATGATGGAAAGTTGATTAATTGTCCTACCAAAAGAATCTATCTTAACAAGAAGCTTTTTGGTGTTAAGATGCTGTCATGACTTGGAATGCAATCACTTAATCAGCAGCGTTTAGCTGGTATATGGCATAACATTGCAGAGGAAAGATAAAACCACAAGCGGGTCTTGGCTAGCATGCTTTAAAAAGTAAAAATTGAGCAATTCAGACCTTCCCGACAGAAGTTTCTCTTAATAGAAGACAAAATTTATCTTATTATTTTCATTTTTCATTTGCATGCATATAATGAGCAAAAGAAACCACTTGCTTGCTCATTCTTACATACACCACTTCCTGAAATCATGTTTCTTTTCATTAAATTATGAAAATTTACTCATTAAACTATGAATAATCTAGTTATAGCTATCCAGCCATTCTCAATTTCAACAGAATCCTCACATCAACATATGCTTCGACCAATTTTTCAAGTTGGGCTAACTTCTCATTTGCTATGGCTGCATTTAACTCTGCCTCAGCTAATTCCTTAACTTTTTTCAACTTCATTTCCGCTTCACTTTCCTGCAATCACCCAAAAAGTGGCTCTGTTTTAACAAAATTCATAAGCTGACAGCAGACGAGATGAGTAGATGGAGAGATGGAGAAAGAAAGGGGAAATAGCACTAACATTTTCAACATCAAACTAAATGAGCACCTTTTGTTCAAGTTCCATTTTCAGTTTCTCTTCCATCTTTTCTTGAAGTGACTTGATAGCAAGGGCTGCTTTAGATCTTTCTCGCTTTAGCTGCTGTAAATTATAAAAACACAACAAGGAGACAGATGAGCTTATATTCTTTCATATTTGAAAAACGGGCATATCAGCAAACCAATTGAAACTTGCATGCAAACATAAAAGCAGTACATGCCAAGGAGAACACCAGGTATATCAATGGACAAGCTGTGTTCACATCTCTTAAAAAAATACGCCTAACAGGTTTAATGATGAATTTCATTCTAATTATCTTTGTGCAACTTATTGAGTCAAACCCAACAGAATGGTATTGGTCCATTTTCACTGAATTATTAGGTTTAGTAAGGGAATAGCAACAATAGTTGAGTTAAATTCAGAATTTCACATAAAGCGAACAGAAAATGTTTGCACAACGCTTTCTCTGTCTGAGGGATTGAATTAGCAGCTATATGTTGTCTTTCTTACACTCATGCAACTCCAATTCATGTTGGGTTGAAAATCAAATGAGGAAATAAAAAATTTGCTAACCTTATCCAACATTGCAACCTCTTCAGCCCGCATAAGTTCTCTAGCAGCTGCATCTTTCAACCTTTTTTCATACTTTTCCTAGCATGCACAGAGAGATTAGAACAAAATAAGACAGCAAAGCCAATCAAATTATACCAAAAGTAATAAATAAAAGAAGTACAAATGCTAAGCAAAGTTGAATACAGTGCTAAATAAGTTATATAGGTTATGCAAGCTATAGTTATAGGCAAACCTTCAACATTTTCTTCTCTTCATTAAAAACACGCGCATCCAAGTCAGCTTGCCTTTTCTCAGCAGCATGGATTGCTTGTAAGAAATCAAGAACCAGTTTCCCATCCTTAGAGACGTATCCATCTTTAAGCCCCTCCATTGCACTACTAAGTGCCTATTTCAAAGAAATGAGCTAGTTTTCAACTTTTCATGCATGATCATGTTATTTTCAGCCACATACCAAGACTGAGAATTATTAAACGACAAATATAATAAAATAAAAGTAAGATCCAAAAAGTAACCTCTTTTTCTTCATAAAATTGGCTATTCTCAGTAAACCCTTCACTAGACAAAAAAGTTCCAGCACTTTCTTCGTCCTTATTCCTCAAGTGATATTCCTCAAGGAGAGGAGATGGCTGTTCTAGGCCTTTATCTCCCGTGTCCTGCATTGGAGTAACAATGAAAAGAAGAACTTCATGCAAAAGTAATAAACATCAAAATGCATTTCAATCAATAATGATTTTCAAGTAATCCTCATGTACAGAAGATATAACAGGTTTGGATGTAGAATCAAAAGTGCATAAACCAAATACATAACAAACGGGGGGAAATAGCGAAGGAGTCAATACTTGCCATCCTTGAATTAATGCTAGAATAGCCCACCTTTGATAGTCAAACATTACTTAAAATAGCTGGGGAATAACTAAATCATTTGTTAAGTTTACATGCTATCATCGAAGTTAATCCAACATAGATACCTAAAAGGTCCTAGCAAATATTAATTATTAACCGGTACATTAAATCATGGAAAACTGATTATCAAAATAAAAATCATGGACAATTCATAAGTACCTGTTTTCTATCCTCCAACACCTCTTGCAGTGGTTCAGTGTTTTCTACCCCTTTTTCATCTGGACCAGCAGTAGGCAAAGTAGATGTGGGTGCTTGTTGAGTTCGCTCTTCTAGTCCCGTGTTGGTGTCAGACTCTTTGCTTATGTCATCAATCTCTTTTGGTTGTATCAATGACTCCTTACCTAAATCAACAGGTTCTGCATTGCTTTGAGGAAATTCAGGCAGCTCACTTTCTTTGGCATTGACAGTGCCCTCTTCATTATCAAATTTGTCTTGCACTTTAATATGCTTATCACCAATGTCTTCTGTTACATTTTTAAGATCAGGAAGTTGGGTATCCATCTTTTGCTCTTGAACCTCCGGAGAAGGACTTCCACTGCTCAATTTCTCACTGCCAGGTGATACTAACTGTTCCACTGAATGCTGGAGGTTTTTAGAATTTTCATTGGTAACATTAATCTCCGCATCCTGGGGAACACTGAGCTGGTCTTTCCTAAGATATTGGTCCAGAAAACCAGCTTGGTATGCTGCCAAAAAAGCAGCACCAACAGCAAAACTGCCAATGACAAACTTTGATAAAGAGCCTTGAGATTCAGGTGGCTTGCCTGCGGAGCCAGGAATAGAGTCCCCACCTGATTTAGATGCAGTCGAGAATTTTTTTCGTGAAGACAGGCATGAAGGTATTGCCTGAACTATGCAATAAGGAAAAGAGGGCAATAAATTAGAAAATAAGCATAATAATCTACCAGATTAAATTTAGGAGAAACTATTACCAAAATCAACAACCAAATTTGTTCATATCATATGTAGGGGCCAAGAAAATTATTGCATCTAATCGGATGATAACCCACCCGTTTCCTATAGTCAAATAATAAATTGTCCTTTGTGTTAGGCTACATATTCCCCAAGCATCTATTTGCACGCAAAGCATTTAAAAAGGACACAGCTTTTGGATCGGTAGGAAATCCAAAGGGGCAAGATTGTTCAGATGCTAGATAATTCTGTCTGACTGTTAGTTCTGAAGCAATAGTTCACAGATATGCAGGAGGCACCAACTTCCGGTCTTAACTTGGTTAACTATAATTAAAGGGGAAGACTTCATGATTGACGTAATAAGCAAAATTAGCTCGTGACAGATCGAAACAAGTGAATTAACAACAAATCCAAGTCCACGACGCATTATATACGTTTCACAGAATGCGTGTCCTACATTTATCTATGAATCAGTCACCATAAGGCCATATGAATATACATTTCATATAATGCGTTAAATAATTGCAGCAAAGATTACGCACCCGATTTGTAAAACGTCTCGGGTTTATTCCAAGAGTTCGTCGGGATGATATTTCCAAAATCGACCTGCAATTCAACCACGTGGAATCAGTCTGTACATATGGCTCGGTGATATCGCAGCCAATAAAGCAAATGGAGTTCGCGAAGCATAGGAGTTAGAGGTGCAGACTGAAATGCTTGTAATCTCTCTTCAGCGTAGAAACCAGAAACTTTCCGCAGCTAAAATGCTAGATGTCAATAAGACGTTAAAAATGCTTATACTTACCTCCGTAACATTGCAGTGAGCTATGCGCCTCCGAGAGCTTGAAACTCAACCAGAAAATAATTTCCTGCACCTGCCTCAAACGATTATTGGGAGAGAATTAGACTAGGAGGAGGGAATTGAACGGCTGCTAGCTGGATGACAGTGGAACCAGTATTCTTCACCTTTTTACGAGTTTTCAGCACCGAAACTGGTTGTTTGAAGGGGGCGGCCTGTTGGAGCTGAAGGAAGGTCGAAATTTGTATTAATGTAGGTCAATCTAGAGGCGCTTGGCGGAGGGAATGATCTCTGAAGGAGTTTGCCGTGGTCCGGGCAAGTGTCTGAAGCGAGGCATGTGAAGTTGTCTCCCGTCTCAGCAAAACGCAAAGCGTGGAAGTGCGAGAAATTAGAAAATAAGCAGGAGAACAAAGAAATCTGCGGATGCACTCGGGCGGGTCGGTTACCGAACTGATGCGCGCTCTCCTGATCCTTGCCGGTTGCCACCCGCAACCTCGTACAGATAACCGGACGGGGGCATAAAATTTTGAGGGAATTACAGCCAAATCCTATAAAAGAGAAATAATTACTGAAAGGTCTTGATAACAATTTTAACAGCCTGTAATAACAAGTCTTATAGTGAGAATGATAATCTTTTGGACTTGTTTTTTAATTGTTTTATTTGTTTGAGACCTCATTGTAATTCTCTCTAAAATTTTGAGGCTAAGAGCCCAATATTTTAGATAATAAGGTTTTAAAATGTCAATTAAAAACTGTGGTCCTTTATTTATTGAGATTTAAAAAATTAACTAATTGACAAAGGTATCCTTTATTACATATATTAGTTCGGTATTGGCATGCATAAATTGTAGTTTAGAGATCTGGATGAATATATGACGCTACTTAAAACACATTGGGTCTCTTCCATTCATTCAAATTGACCTGAAATCGAACAAATAAATTTGGAGAAGCTAGAATATTAATTAAAGTTTTTTTAAACTTTTAACCCGTTTGTGTCATACGTGTAAAATGCCTCAGTAAAAATTTTTAATTTTCTTATTTGTCATCTATCTAATAAATATCTTAGCAGTTTATATTTTTTCTTCCAAAAACCAAGCTCTTTTAAAATTTTCTAGCCTCTCTTTCAATATATCTATGTAGAAGTAACGCCTTAGTAATGGAATTGTAATTATCATAAAGAGTCTTGCCTATTTTGCACTAAAAAAAAAAAAGAGTCTTGCTTATTTTGCACTACAAAAAAAAAAGAGTCTTGCTTATTTGTCTAATAGTATTACTTAAAGTTTAATGAATTATAATTATTTATTATTTCAGATAAAACTAATCACGTGACTGAGATTCATTTCAGGAAAAAAAATCCCAAAAATTGTAAAAGGGAAAATGTGTTTCCAAATTTCAATCCAAACCCTTGGTATTATTTTGAAATTTTTAAATATTAGTATTATTTTGAAATTTTTAAATATTATAAAATTACATAAATGTGTTTTGTTATTTTTTTTTAAAGATTGTCATCTTAGCACCCTTAACTAGTTTTAGGCTACCAGAGCTCTGCACTGATGACCTTGTCAGTGGCTTGTCATTAGAGCTTTAGCGACATGTTACCGCAACTCTAGTGACTACTCTTTTTTATATATTGATTATTCTTTATCAGTTATTGACTACATTTATTTTTAGAACTTTGATGATTACTCTTGTTTAGTTATTGATTACCTTAATATTGTGATTGACTACTTTTGTTTCTAAAAATTTGGTAATTATTCTATATACTGAAAATAATCATTGAAAATTAAGGATAATTTAGTTATCATTTATATAATGTTTTTTTTGGCCAAAAAATTTTATAATGTTTTAAGACTTCAAAACAGTATAAGAAGTATGACTTAGAGTTTTAAAATGATAACATTTATCTTTCAACATTTTTAACATTTTTAGGATATTTTAGTTTCTTTTCCCCCTCGTTCGTGCCCTGGAATTAACCTAATTAAGCTGGTCTCTCGGGCAAAGAAAAAGTTAAAAAAAGAGTATTTCTTTCTGCTTCTCGCAGACCGCCCTTGGCGCCGTCGCGCGCTTCTTTAGTCTTGACAGAAACCTGCTTGCTGGGCATCAATATCATTCGCGACTTCGCGTCTTACGAATTGTTAACCTACAGTACAATCACCAATAAAAAGACCTCACCGCCATCAATTTGTGGCCACCCTATTTTTTCAGAATGGGAAATAACAAACAGAGGAGATTCAAAGGCCATCGCAACCATCGCAGTCAATCCAGTCGAGACCAGCAGTTCATATTGTAATTCCTTGCCATACTTTATGTTCAATACTTAATAATCGCCTATTTTTAAGCTTATTATTTCTTCTTTGCGGGCTTCATTGTCTCACTCCAACCCCACATTTTCAGGGATGACGAATCTCAAAGTTCCATCGAAGGTGCCAGTTGCTCCTTTGTTTTTCTTCAATCTCTTCTTCTAGTTGTTCTTCTTAAAAGAGGCGGGGGGGGGGTAAAAAAATGATATTGAGTGATTGTCACTTCTAACTGCAGTAACTAATGAGGGGGAATCAGCGGTCCCGAAGATCCAGCTTGCAATGTGGGTATGAATATTATTTTATTGCTATACCCAAGTTCTTTCCTTATAAATTCTTGAAGGTTATTGACAAAAGAAGTAGGCAGGTTTAGTGATAGTGTTGGCCAGCATGTATAGAGAACACGAAAAGTAATCTAGGCTATATCGTTAGTTTTGTATAAGGAGTCACACCTGGCTGTTCGAAGAAGCAAGCTACTATAGCTGAATATATTGCTACAACTTCATCAAGCAACATGGCTAATAATATTGCAGTCAGATCTCGGTTAAGAGCAAAAAGAAAGAATTAAAATATTTTTGCGACAACGTATGAATCCCAATGACATCCCAATGACCAAGAATCCGGCTTTCGCGGAAGAACCAGGCATATTGATATGCAATCTCATTTTATAAATAATAATAGCTTGCAAACACAGCCTGTGCGTAAACTCTAAATTTGCTTTTATGGAGCGTGGTAAATGATTGAAAACTAGAAAAAATTATAGTCCATATGATAGGATATAAGAGGGCAAAAGGGGAAATGAGAGGGATTGTGATAGCTATATGTTTTAAAGTTCTATTTTGTTTCACCCTTTCCAAGTTGGAAATAATCAAGCTTCATTTTGTGTCATAGTCACGTAGCTTGAGCTTCAAGGTTTTGGTAATAAAATGAGAGGGGTTGTGATAGCATTTCAAGATATTAAGCGGTAAGAACTAGGTAGATTCTTTTTGTGTACTCTCACCTCTTTATATCATTGAGAAACCTGTGTAGTGTGTATGTCCTCATGAATTCAGAACAAGTATTCAAATGAAATGCGCCTCTAAAATTTGAATGTAATTGTTGCTTATGATCTTGACTCAGGACTTTGGGCAATGTGACATCAAAAGGTGCACAGGACGCAAGCTTTCAAGATTTGGCTTGTTAAAAGCAAGTGCTTGTTCTCTTTCTTCATTCTTTGTTTTCCTTTTACACATACATATATCTTATAGCATTTTATTTGAACAAGAAATGTTATTTCTGCTATCAGATTGATGATTTCTTTGGCACAAAACTTGTCACACTTTATAAACATGTCACAGAGTACAGAATGGCTCTGAATGCTGAGCAGTGATGAATCCGTTGTTTCACGGTTATTTATTTACTGGCCCTGACTGAACAATTCTATGCAGGAGTTACGTGTGAGTAATGGTTTCGGGGGCATTGTTCTAAGGTACTTAGTTTCTTCTCACTGTATGAATTTGCGTTACTTTAGCCTGAACCCCCTTATTCTTGATATTACAATTCATCATCTTTTTACATCTGGTTTGATGGACTTATTGCTTCTACTACAATCAGTTGTATGGTTGTCAACCTATCTCTTCTTAGAATAGAATTATTTTCTTGATGGTTAGGCAGTCCAAAATTTCTGTGCTTGGGCATCTATCATTCATTCTACTTTTATAAGATGATGAATGAAAGCAATGAATCAATGAATACTGTGGTTTGGTCATTTGGGTTAAGTTCTTGACTGACATAGGAGAGTGAGTGGACTGGAGGATTATAATAGTGTTGTCAATGTACTGATGGCACCTGTCAGTTCATTCTTTCAGTAGCTAACCTCCTAGAAGCAATGAAATTCCTGTGACTGTTTAGCAGCTATATGTTAGTAGCTCCTGTACTGTGTTCATTGATTATCTATTTGTGCTTTTGTTTTGACAGTCCTGTTGGAAAGCAATGTGTCTCAAGAGAAGATTACCCTTTAATCAAGAAGAAAGGATTGGCTGTTGTGGATTGCTCGTGGGCACGATTAGATGATGTGCCTTTTGTGAGGCTACGTTGCAGTGCTCCTCGCCTCTGTATTAACTTATCTTCCTTTATGAATGCATTATATCTTGAACCATGTAGCATAGTGGTCCATGATAGTTACAAGTGTCCTCTAGCAATGGCTCATTTATTTTTTCGCTTAATTGGGATCGCCTCTACACTAGTGTTGGTATTATAATCATACTTTGGTTTTTATATCCTTCTATCACTGACTATATTGCATGAAATTGCAGTACCATGGCTTGTGGCAGCAAACCCAGTAAATTATGGTCGACCATGTGAGCTATCTTGTGTAGAGGCCTTATCTGCTGCTCTAACAATATGGTACCCAAATGCTTGTTTCCTTTTTCTCCACCCCCCCTTTTGTGTATATATGTGTGAAAAGGTTACGCATCTCCAATTCTTTTATATGGCTTTACAGTGGAGAAGAAGAAACGGCAAATCTGTTGCTTAGCAAGTTTAAATGGGGTCATGCTTTTATGTCGCTGAACAGGTATGCTTTAATTATTTCGTGATTTTACTTTTAAATCTCTGATGTGAAGGTCCGTGATTTGAAATACCAGCATGGCATGAATACATTCTTGTTCGTTCAATGAGAATATGACTTTTTATGGTCATGCAGCTTGGTGCAAGTCAGTGGCATAACAACCCCCGGGGGGGGGCTGAGGACATTAGAGCTTGAACTGGTCTAAAAACTTATGCTACTGTAGGCTATTTATCGGAAGCCCGAATGAGAAAATAAAATAAGTAAAAGTCAGAAAGGGGGGAAAAAGTCATAAACTTTTTGTTTAAGGAAAAGGTTTTGTGTATTTTGAAAATTGAGAGATAGTCTTCAAAAAAGTCTGTATAATTTATCTTATATTTTCATTAAAACGATGAAAATTTTATTGTGCTGATGTTCAATAACGCAGCTCTTCCTAGACTGTTTTTAATCCTGAACTTTGTATCATAAATCATTTCAGGGAGCTGTTGAAGGCCTACTCCGAATGCGAAAATAGTTCTGATATTATTTCTGTTCAAAATGCTTGGCTGTCACAACAAAGTCAGATTCAAAGGACTCGTTTAGATGGTGAAGGTTCTTTTGCTCTTAACTTTTCTCTGCATAATAGGGGATTAGTGACCAATGATATCCAAGTCAATTTTTCTGGCCTGTTTGAATTTAGTGTTCCGCCCATTCTCTTGAATGTGGCCTTTTGGCATGTAGCAAGGAAGACATGTCATCTGCTTTTGTTGAGAGAATCAGAGAACTAATGGATTCACTACGATACCTTGACTTGTTGTCGCTCATCCTTTGTGAACTCTCTTTTCTATACATTATATGCCTGTTGCATGACTTTAACTTTTGAGGAAATTTATGTAACTTTCTCTAAAATAAAAAGTTTTTACATTTTAGTCCAATTTTAAGATTTTTTTTTTTTAAAATAAAGTGCCTTATGTACACCCTCTCAAGTATTTATATGGGATTTATTTGAGGAAAAGAAGAATGAAATGTATATTTTGAAAAGCTAGCAGAAGTGTATGATCTCATTAAAATTCAAGATCAGCCTGTAATTTATTCCAACTTTTTTTAAGGCAACTTAAGAAAGGTTTTGTCTTTTACATGTGCATATACATGGGAGTGTCTGTGTTCTTGCATATGCTCACGGACTTATAGTTGTTTTAGGAAAGTCTATTTCTGACATGGAGAGAGAGATTTGATAACTTAGTTGTATTTTATTTATCTGTTATCTAATAACATTTATTTTTGTATCTAATTTATGCGTCTTTCTGCCTCTGCATGGATAGCTGTGGCACACGAAATTGAGCGTCAAGGCTCCTCTGATTCTGAAGATGATCTTCCACCTATTGAAATGAACATGAATCATTTGAATCGAATCGAGAGTGATGAAGAAAGCGAGTAAGTGGATGTTAAAATATCCATTGTTCGATCTCGCTCACAGCATGCTGCCATCTTAGAAGTAATCTGGAGACGTGCACAATGCCCCAAATATATTGGCTAGCTTCGATTTTAGTACACAAGGTGTCATATAGTTCCCAGCTCGCGATTTGCTATTATCTATCAAATTTCGCCTTTTATATTCATTACCTGTCTTTTAAATATGAAGAGGTGACGGAAGTGCTAGCTTGCAGTAATTACGTTTACGCTCTCTCATTCCTTTGCATTTTGAATGTATGTTTCGATTTTCTTCTTGCATTTTGAATGTAGTTTTTGGTGACTTTGTTCCGTTTTAGAATAAAAATCACAGCTTCATTGTCGTTATGCTTAACTGCTAGGCTTTACACACTAGGAATCTGAGAGCATTTGAAACATTTTCAAACCACAACATTCGAGTTAAAAAAAATTCAAATTGTTGGATATCATAGGGGTCAAGAGTATTTTCCTATTATTTTTCATACCCCAATCCAAGGCTTCAGAAAACCAATTAAAGCGCGCGCGCACAAAGCGTATCTACACGGCCAGCCCATGAGAAATGAGACCATCATAGTGCCACGTGTAAAAGTTGGCGTTTTACGTATTCTACACGGCCAAATCTTACCGTTAAAGCCAAACGATGAGGACCCACTCAAGCCAAGGCCTGCACTCTGCCGGTGTCTGCCTCCTGTGAGGAAACTGTCGTCGCCAATGGAAGCATCTGGTTTTCGATATTTTTCATGGGATGAGACTCGGATATGTGTTGTGTCGCATCATCATAGCGGGATCCAATTGAGTAGTCTTTCTTAAATAAAAAGAAAATCAAATGGTTTGAAGTTGAACTAGTTCCAGGGAACATCTCCAAGACATGATTATGTTGGACGAGAGGATTGATGTGAGGGTTTAAGTCTGACCATGGATTTATTGTCGTGCAGATTCGTTACGTCGATGTTACCTGGTTTGGTTGGCTTTCCAGTACGATTCTCCTGAAATTTGTCCGCCTCAGTTTGGGACTTCAGCGAAGATATCCCCATCTGATGATACTGAAGAAGAAAACAGAGAATCGGTTTCATCTGAGAAATCCCGAACATTGGATACGGTTAGGGGGTCATGATGTCACAGAGTGGAGATCCAGCTCCCGTAATATCGTGCAATGTGATTATATGAGAGTCCGGTTTCTCCTTGCCGTATTTTTCCCGCTGCATTTGGCTTCGGTTTGGGAGTGATTAGGTCAAATTCTAGTAATGCAGAAATTTAGGGCCTGTTTGGTTTTGTTTTTTTGTTTTTTGTTTTCAAAACATTTTATAAAACTGTTTTCTAGAACAATTTTTGAAACCAAAAAAACAAAAAATCTGTTTGGATGTTTATTTTAAAAAATTATATTTAAAAACAAAAAATACAAAAAGTTGTTTGGAATAATTGTTTTTAAAATCATATATTGAATGTCACTGTTTTTTAATACAATCACAGCCTTTGCAGCTTCAAATAAGAAACAGGTGGTACAAGAAACATAACAATGACAACATATAATGCATCATACATGATTACATGCATTATTCATAATTCAAACGAGACAGAACAGGAATCATAAACAGTCCAGTAGCAAGATAAATCTGAAATATTCATTATAAGCTCGATCATCTATATTGATTAAAGCTGTTACTATAGAATGTGCAAGATAAATCTGAAATATTAATGTAAAAGAAAAATCATAAAACAGATATTCTTCTACCTCTTCCAGTAGTTCAGCTTGGCCTAGCACTGCAATCATGCAACCGTAATGTTTAAATGATGGTTTGATCTCATATTTATCCATCACTCCTCAAACACCTGGAGAGAGCATTTTCAATAGATCCACATTAGCAATATATGTCAATTATTGCTGTTACAACAATAACGTTAAACTCAAAGTCGTTCTTATACAATCATGAATCCATTTCCCTTGTTGAAGTGAGCCCATGAGCACAAGCATTCTCACTAGGCTCAATCCCTTCTTCCTGCATCCTGTGGAAAAGCTCTAATAATGCCTCCATCAGTTTCCCGTTTCTTACAGACCCGCTAATCATAGAATTCCTTGTGACAGAAGCTCTTGTAAGCATTTCATCAAACAGGTTCTTGGCCTCTTCAGTTTCCCTCCATTTAGAAGGACCTATGATCAATGAGTTCAAAATTATAACATCAACGAGACCATCAAACACTCTCTTCGCTTCACTGAAGAGCCCACTATTCGCATAAATATACACCAGTCAACTACGAATAAATCCATCATTTTCAAGACCCAATTTCAAAACTCTCTCCCCTGAAGATGAGCTCCTTCATGTCCAAGACCCATCTGAGCAAGTCTTAAAAGCCGACATTCAGGTTGAGTCTCTAAGTACATTTCAACGACATGAATAATATAGTAGTTAGATAAAGCAACAGAGCATATCAAACTATCATTCATAAAAGTAGCAAGACAGAGGAGAGCAACGTTAAAGGAAGTTTTCAACATTGTGGAAGAAGCATAATGCCATACCTGAATTGAACTCAAACTAAAGACAAGCTCTCTTGTTTTTATAACTTCGTAGCTCTATCAAACGGCGCCACCAAAGCCGCTGTCCTTACCCACTAAATTGTATACACGAAAACCCACTAAATGGTACAAATTAGATTTCAGTTGAAAAATTGACTAAACTAATCAGTTAGGAAGAGAGAGTATAGATTGATGACTCACCGATTGAGGATTGAAAAGGGAGGAAGGAGAGACTGGGGACTAGAAATGTTGGAGGAATGAGGAAGCAGCAATGAGGGAGAGAGGGGTAAGGAAATGAGTGCACCGGAGATATCGATGAAGTGAGGAGATGACGAGCACCGAGATTAGAGAATGGACTATGAACACGGAAGGACGAATCTTTAAAGAAAACTCTTCAATCGAGAAACAAGCATATTTTTATGAACTCTTAAGTCTAAATTATTAAATTTGATATTATTTTTATCCTAAATATAAGAGCTAATTGACTAATTTGAGTAGATTAAGAAAATAAATTAAGTTAGTTATTTGTAATAAATAAGTGTTGTCTTTTTTTAAAATATTTTTACTAATCAAGTTTATTAGTTAGAACTATTATTATTAGAAAGATTATTTTAAAAATAAATAAATAAATATAAAAAATAAAATAAATTATAATATTTAAGATTAAAATGAAAATCAGACGAAAGTCTCGCGTTAAGAAGCAAGGTAGCATGACAGTTTCTTATCGCCGTAGACCATTCACGTAACAAACGCCGTGTGGGACATAAAAGCCCAAGGCATGGCCCTCTTATCTTCCTGCTCAGCTTTTTTTCCCTTTGCCTGACCTAAATGTCAGGCACTGCCCTAGCATTCATCTTTGTTTAATGGTCTGAGAATTAAGACTGCCTGGGTTTCTTTCCTTTCCTTTCCTTTCCTTTTTCTAGCCATAATTGGCAGGGTTTCAAAGAATTGATTTTAATTAAAGATGCATTATCGGGCCTCAGCTTTGGCGAACTTGCTTGTCCCCGAAGCATCGGGTCACTGCCGCAAGTATCTGTGTTCAATTTATTTATCATTCATTAATTATAACATTAACCAACATATTTTGCCCCAAAAAAATAGTTATAGACACATCCCCTTAAGTAAGGGTGGTATCTCTCTTGCATGCTAGTTAACAGGGGAGAGCTGACCCGAAGCACATCGACAGTGATTCGGTGAAAATAGTTCATACAAAAGCAAGATATATGTAGCTCTATTATTATTATTATTATTTTTTTTTTGGTTCTGTTGGACAGTAACATATAAGCAGCTCAAGTGGTCAACATTTCATTGCTTTCCTTAAAATAAAATCTCTAACAAAGAGTGGCAAATGGTACATGATGGTCATGACGAAAGAGTGATGGCCATGGGAGAACCATGCAGGTGGTTTCTTCCTCAGGATGGCAGCTACAGTCTGTTTAGCGAATTCGTCCGTAGGGGTGGACTTGGATTTCTGGGAAAAGTAAGCTCTCTCTCGGATGGCAGCTTCAAAAGGCTTGAATAAGTTCCGTTCAGGCATGCGGTCGTAGCTAGCTGCTGCAGAATGTCCAATATTTGACTTTATAGCTCCAGGGACCACAGTCACGACATCAATTCCAAAATGGCTCAGTTCCAACCTGTAAATCACATTTATGTATCCAAAAAAGGAAAAAAAAAAATCAATTAGGTTGAAGTGAGGTTATGCACAACCGATTTTTGTCACCGATACTATTGTGAATTGTCACTATAGTAGATTTAGGGGTGTTTGGCTACTTAAAAACATTTTTCCACAAATCATGATAAACTTCTCTGAATAATTATTTCCTATACTGTAAAATCACTCTTAAAACTATAATTTTGATTATATCCGAGCACCATTTTAATCAACTTTGAACACAAATTCTATGAAACAAGTTTGAAGGACAAGCAAGTTACCTGAGCGTATCTGTTAAAGCGTGAAGAGCAGCTTTGGAGGAAGTGTAAGCACCAGACCATGGGCCTGGGGCCATAGCAGTTACACTGCCAATGTTTACAATCTTTCCCTGTTTCCTAGCCGCCATATGAGGAACACAGGCTTGAATCAACTTCAGGGGGCCTGCAAATGTGAGAGAAACGTGGAACATGCGGTCTTTTATTGGCATTTGGCAATGACAAATAATGCTCTGTTATTATACCGGTCCTCTTGTACTATGCAAAGATAGAAATTTCACATACTAGGTAGGACTGGGAAGAATGTTGGTCTTTATAAATGGTCGGTTTCAATTTGAAAAGTAGTATTAGTTCATGAGACACCATGATATTAAAGAGTTAGTTTTAGTACATGAAAATAACTACACTTGAGGTTTGAAATAAGAGTGACTAAGCTTAAACAAGTGTTGCCAACTTCTCAGAGACTATTCGCACAACTTTCCTTCCAATCTCTTCTTCTAGTAGGCTTCAAACAAGTATTCCCACCAACCCAGAATTCCTGAAGCTACTGTGCCCTCTGTTTCATAGTTCATCCCAAGATACTTTAAATCTTTGATCCATACAAGTCAACGCTACATAGCAAATTCGTAAATAAGCAACTCCATATGCTTGAATGTCAAATCCTTAAAACCTCCAAAAAAAAAAAATCATATAGGGCCTGGAAACATACACCCGCACAACCAAATTGCTCCTATCACTTAAAGGTTTGAGTGTAATCGGCAGAACTACAGAACAATTCACAACGCAGAGAGAACTTGAAGTGATCATGATACGAACCAAAAACGTTAGTGTCAAAAGTGTGGTGGATGGCGGGGAGAGGGACCTCGGCAAGTGGGCCGACGCATTGAACACCGGCGTTATTAACCAAAACATCGATCCGACCGTACTTGTTTAGGACGTTGTTGAGAGTACGGTTGATGCTGTCATCCGACAGAACATCGAGCTCTTGCAAGAAAAATCTGGGGTCTTGATCCAGATCCGCCATGGATGAGCGCGACCTACTGGTAGCCACCACTGTACAGCGGGAGGCGGCGAAGGCGCGTGCGAGAGCATGTCCTATGCCTCCCTGAGAGCAGCCGGTGATGAGAACAACGGGTTGAGGCTGGACATCCATGGAGAAAAATACGCGAATTTGGAAGAATATGAGCAGACAAGTATGTAAGTAAACTGGCCAGAAACTTAAATGAGTAGGATTTCATAAGATCCAATAGCATGGGAATGGCGTGTCCGAAGATTCATCAGATTCCCGGCCGAACTTTCGTGAAAAATTTTGATTCGTTGGCCTAGTTACCCATTCGCATTAAACATGGGAAGAGCCGAGGCGGATTTCATTTCGGACCCAGCCCACGTAGGTTGGATCTGCAAACTGATAAGCACCCATACTCATCAGATCTAGACGGTCGAGATCGGATCTAGACGGTCGAGATCTGATCTGGACAGTCTAGATTTAGTTTTAATTTTATTTTTTTAAAATAATAATTTTAACAGGTATAGGATAAAAAATAAAGATAATCTCTTAACTATTATTTTTTAAAATATAATTTTTTCTATTTTCAAATAATTATTTAAAAATATTAAATCTGAACGATCCAAATTACTCATCAGCTGATGAGTACTGGGTGCTCATCACGCACAGGGTGATGAATTGAGCACCAAATGGGGACCCACGTAGGTTGACATAAAAGTTTGAGTGTGGTATATTATATGAATGGACTGATTTAAGTAAATTAAAAAATAGTTATATAGTTATTTGTAATATATAGGTGTTGTTTTTCTTAAAACATGTATGAGCTAAAATTAATATTATTATAAGAATTACTTTGAAAAAAATAGATAAATATAAAAAAATAAAACAAATCGAGACATTATATTTAGGACAAAAATAACCGTAAAAAAAGTTCTTATATTAAAAACATGAGGGAGTAGTTGTTAACATAAAAATACATATTTTAGAAAAAAATTATAATTAATGAAAAAGTATAAGAAGACAGCAACCCCTAAACTCAAATTACATTTGAATGAAAAAGAAACAGAGAAGGAATAGTAAGAAAGAAAATTTTGATATAGCGTAGGTTTTCGTGCTTTCCCTTATTATAAAAAAATAAAAAAGAAAATTTTTAAAATAAACAAATTTCAAATATTTATTGTTTTTAGGAGTTTTTTTCTCCTAATATTCTTTCCTTTTAATTATATTTTTGCCATCCAAACACACGGTATAAGTCCTAGACTAGATATGAGATTTGGAATAAACAGTGTCGTATTACTTATAATTTTAAAGTGACATAATTTCTTGTAAATTATCATAAATAGACAATGGTTTCTATTCACCTAGGCAGCGTGACTGTGGGACCCCTTGTATAAAAATTCCAGCGACTATTCCCGCACCCAAGCCGGTGCATCCTTTGCTGGCATTAATGATATATTCACCAATGATGAAGGATGCATAGGAATATAGCATATTCTTAAATATGTTATCTTTAAATAATCCGCTAAAAAATATCATCACCAATGTTAAAAGCAATATTACAATAGATTAGATTGGCCAAGAAAAAAAAAAAAAAGGCCGTCATAGTATAGTCAAATAGTTATGCCATATGTAAATTAGCCCGCTTATCTAGTTTAATATATGGATGATATCATTATGTTCCATAATAGCCTCTATGAAGAATTGAAGATATAAATATCTTATTATGATCTGACTTAGTTTTATTTATTTATTTTCCTTTCCATGATTTTTCATGACTTTATATTAAAAAAATTTGTTATTCACTCTGGCAAAAAAAAAAAAATCTGTGTTATTCAAATCAAAATTAAATCGTGTATATTTATTTTTTATTTTCGTCTTCTGATTTTAAAATATTTAGTTTTTAATAATTGTAAATATGTAATAAAAAGAGATCTTAACTATTAATTTTTCAAATGATAGCATATTGAACTTAAAAGTTAAAATCAGAATTATCTAAATGAATTAAAGGTTGAGCAGTGCCCCATATGGACTGCACCATAAGACCAGCTTGATACATTCCCTGTTCCATCTATAAACAACACAATTTTGCGTTTTGGAATGCATTACCATTAACATTTGGTAGCCACGGCCATGAAAGCTCTCTCAGATTTCTTCTTTCATCTCTACGCAAAGACCGTCGTCCTGCTGGTCTTCCTGCTTATAGAATTCATCATCCTCATTCGAAAACTCAAAACACACACCCCTCCAATTACCATCTCCCAGTACCTCCAACTCATTGAAGAGAAAAGCCCCACCGTTTGTTTCACCAGAACACTGAATATGGCGGACCAACTAGAGTGCAGGGTTTGCTTATCTGAGCTTCGAGAAGGCGAAAATGTCAGGAACTTGAAATGTAAACACACATTTCACAAGGAATGCTTGGACCGATGGTTGCTTCAGTTTTGGGCCACTTGTCCTATCTGTAGGAACAGAGTCCTTCCAGAAGATGTCGTGACCAGTTATCGACGGCTTCGGAATCAGGTGAATTATGATGACAATAATGATAACGAGCACCACCCAATTATGTCTTTCTTGTTTGCATTACGTGGTACTATCACCTTGCAAAGATATCTCTGAAACAATTGTCTTCTTGATGACGCATTGTTTGATCTGTGAGTTTCTTTTCTTTTTGGTTGTACAGAGGGAATTGATCATCTTTCCCTTCTGGGATTCCTCGGAAGATTAGTGATGTACCGTCTGCTGTATGTATGAAGATTATGGTAAAAGAAAAATCCAACCTTTTTACTGCTATACTCCCAGCATGACTCTATGATTTGATCGTTTTTTGTAGTAAATGAGCTGGATCTCTGGAAATTCTGTAGATATTAGAGTTTCTATCAGACCAGTTCACGTTGAAAATATCTCAGCAGAAGTAGATATTTGTGGAGATATTACTCTGCAGATTTTCATGGAGATCCATTCTCACAGAAGCAGTTAGATTCTTATTGTCTACAAGGGAAATTTTTCAGAGAGTGACATTGATGGTTAGGTAGGTGGAGAAGTTAGAAGGTTTAATGGATCAAAAAGGTACAAACGTAGAAGCAATTTAAGAGCAACTTTGGTTGAATGTAAGACCCCACAACTCCACAAATCCAGATTTATGTGAAGGGCGCACAAGAGTTAGCTGAGTATAATTGAAGTATTGATTAAAGAGCTGATAATATCGAGAGAGCTTCAGAGGACGATAGGTTCACTGGATTTGCTGAAGTAAGGAACGAAGTGGTACTGCAAATTAAACTAATCAACCAAGTTTAATGTAATGTTTCGCCAGATTTAAACAAAATAATTATAAATTGACACTTCGTACACTCTTTCTTTTATTTGCGTACTACTACCACTAGTTAGCTGTTTATAGAGTACAGTTTGATTGTCCACTCAGGACCACCACGTTTTCCCCTTTATTTCGTGTGCTTTGGATCTGGACTTCTATGCTTTATTTTACAGGAAGAATTACGGGCAAACATTACATTTCCAAATGCCAATCCATGTTGGTTTTCCAGCAAAATAGTGGCAGGAAAAAAAAAAAAAAACATCTGGGTAGATATGGGCAGTGATTTCTTATTTCTAATAGACTTACCTTAATAGAATTGCTTGCAAGTCGCCATCGATCGCTAACAACAGCTTTGTTTCACAAAATGAACACAGTCGCTAAATATTTAATTTCTCAACATCTGAATCAACAAAGTGATGGTTTACTAATTAGCTCCTTCAATTTGAGTCACTTTTGAGCGAAGTAAACGGCAAGGGAAGTATTTCATTGAGATAAGTTGAACATCTCAAGACCTACAATGAAATAAGATTAAAAAAAAAAAGTGTTTGGATTAGCTTTTTATAAGTGATTTTAAAAAGCATGAGATGAGTAGATAAAAAGAGTTCTATCTCAATTTACATAAAAACAATTTTTAAGTGTTTTTTTAGTATACCAAACTCCCTCCCAAAGTCACTGTCATACATAGGGCAGTGTCGTTTTGGCAAACGTTGGCACTATTGAATGAGGAGGAGGAGAGGTAGCTGACCAAATTCAATATCAAAGGACACACTATGTCATTGAATCTTTTGTTCTTTCCGTCCTGATCTGCTGCAAATGCAAATGGTGATCTATTTTTTGTAAGTATGGTATGTTGGAATGATTTAAAATTTCGTTTTAATATAGATATCAGTAATTTTTTGAATATTAAACTGTAGCTTTTGTGTCATTATGATTTCATTGTTAGACTAATACCTGAACACTTTACTGACGAATACTCACAAATTTATGATTGTATTCTTATGGTGCAACTATGCACGTAGTTGCTTTTGTCACTCTTAAAGTGCACATGATGTGTTTATTGTTTTCGTTCTTCCTGTTATTGCTGCTTACCCTCTTATACGGATGTTTAAAAGTTCAATTTGGTTCGATTCTGGGTAAAAACCAAGGGTTTACACAAAATTCCATTTTTTTAGTCGGTTTGCATCATGGTAAAACGATTTTTGAATGACTCTTGAATAGGGCTTGAAATCATTTTCAGCTTGTTTGAAAAAAAACTTTATCAATTAAATATAATCGAGTTTGATTAAATGGGATTTAATTGGTTTTCATGAGTTTAGAACAGGGTGACATCTGGGATGAGACGGCTATAAATGTTATTTCCAATTCCATCATAAGGCGAAGCGAATAACACGGCCAATGAATGCGGCCTCATCCCTACCCTTTTGCAGTTTCCACCGAGTTTGGACATTGACCTCATGAAAAATCCTAATACGGAGAATTTTGTTGTATCACTATCACCCCTTTTGATGCTCACATGCATATCAATTTACGTATAGTACATTTCATATAACGGGCTTTGAAACGAATATACGTGGCGGTTGGATACATATAGTGGAATGGCATGAATGAAAGTTTTTCTGGACAAATATCAAAGGGACTGAAGTGTCATTCTCCCGAGAAAATATTATTCAGTGAGTGGCCATTATCATAGGGACAAGTACTAAGAGATCTCAAGAAAAAAAATTTTAATTACCAAAATTTTTTAATAAAAAGTGATTAGTCTGAACCTGAACCTGTTGTCATTTTTTATTTTGAAACTTATTATTGCTTACTCTTTATTTGTTAATAGATTTTTAAAGTAATTAAATCTCTTTCTTGGGGTGTAATTGTAATTCTTGCAATTATAATTGTATACATATCAAACGTGGCCTAAGTGTAATCATCCAACAACTGTTGCCGAGTTGACAAAAGAACATGAACCCGGAGACAGAGAAAGGGACCGTACACCCACCAGCGAGTCCTACGCCCCAGGTGGCAGGTGCAATATAAAGTGCTAATTAAAGGAAAGCCCTTCTGGATAGTTGGGCCTGCCAATGGTTGATATCATATGGCCCAATCTAATTGTGATGTTAGCCCAAAAACCAGAGTGGGGAACGAAAATGCCCTCTGGAGTCGTTATCCGTTCATGTATCCAATGCCCTAAGCCCATTCTTTTTTGGGCCAACAGCTATGATCCCATTCTACTGACAGGGTTGCCCTTTTTTTTTTAAAAAAAAAAAAGACACTACCAATAGTGAGAAGTTTCTGTTTTGAATTAGACGTAGAGCTGACAAACGCATTACACATTGTAAGAGTGCCGACAAACAAATAAATAAAAAAAAATGATGAAAACATCTACAGATTGATATATTGATATAATATAAGAAAACGTACATAAATTATCTTTATTCAAGAAAAAAAATATATTTATGAATATTCCTTATATCCACTGGAAATGGATAAGGGATACTGATGATTTTTTCGCAGAAAAAAAGATCCGATTTGTTTGACTGGCTCTGGAAATGTTATCTCTTCGCAATAATGGCACATGTTTCATCAATTCCTTTTACCAAACGGTAGGCCCAGCAGTTGTCCACATTCATGCCCAACACCTTTTATTCGCCATAGCAAGAGTGCAAAATAGTCTGGCCACAGGCCTGTAGGGGACCAGCCTTCTTGCCCAGAGTGTCCCCCACACGCTTTTTCTTCTTTTTCCTATTTCGGTGTGCACGCATTGAACTTGCAACTTGTAAATACAATCCCATCAGCTTGACATGCTACCATCAAATTTATTATTATGTTATCCTTAAGTGTTTTAAAAAAATTAATTAATCACCTCGATTTTTTTTGTTTTTCTCAAAATGCCCCGAATCGACACATCCGAAAGTAATTGTTCATCCAGCCATCTTATTTGTCCTGTTCTCTGCTCCATCTCTTCCTTCCCCTCTCCAAAAATGAGAAGCCCAAAGCCAGAGGCATTTCTAAAATTCAATTCGTTCATTCCATTCTCCACAAATTTATTGAATCTCATCCTTACTTCAGTACTCTTTCACTGATCCAAACTTTCCATTGTTTCCATTTTTAATTCCAAAGCGCTGGGGGGACCAAAAATGAAATTGCAGACTTCTGATACGCTAAAGAACTTAAAAGGCTGCGCTGGGTGAGAAGGAAGAACCGTTAACTTGGAGGGAAGACGACCCCGCGGGCATCAAACAGCCGGCGACACCGAAGATCCGCCGACGAGGAAATGTTGGCGCTGGGGGCTGTTGAATTTTATGGAATGATCGATGATTCGTAGAAAAACTCAGTTCTAATTACTACTATTGTGACTGTGAATGTGAATGTGAATATGAAGAAACGGAAGGCAAATAAATAGAGGGAAGGTGCTGAGATAAGCGGAGAACACAAGTTGCTTTAACATATTGGAATAGAACAAAGGATGTACAAATGGAGAAGTAAAAGAGGAAGAAGCATGAGGATCAAGCAGAGAAGAAGCTGGCAGAAGCGGCGACGCCCACTTGGGATTTGGGCTCCCAGGCCCACTGGAGGACCTCTCTCTTGTGCTTCATCAGCCTCTGAGCCAAAACCGAAGCTCCTTCATCAATCCTCTCCTGTGATACGCCAACGCCATCAACGCCAGCCTTCCTCAGAATGCTGACCCTCCTCTCGTACTCTTCTGCCACCAACATTGCAATATCAGACATCCTTGCTTCTCTCCTCCTTCAACAATAACTGGATCAGATTTGTGTTGTTTGTAATTGTAACTGATCATCTCAAGGCATTTATAGAATGCAACGTCTCCGGAGGTGGCCAGTCAGCAGTTTTGGATAAGGCTGAAAGCTCCCACTTTTTTCTGTCTCTTTCATATATCTTTTCCCGTAAAAGTAGTTGCTGCCACGCGCATGTGGGCTTGGTCTGCGTCCTCCTCGTATAATCCTACGCGCCTCAGTCCTTAGACTATGGGCGCATTCCAATTCAACCTGATTTCACTCCCTTGATTTGAGTGAACCGGACGGGATGAAGGTTCTGATGAGATTTACTATAACCATACGCAAACATTTTAAGGGTAGTTCGGTACCCCATACAAACTAAACTACTTTTGGGCGAAACTAATTTGAACTGAATAGTTGCAATTTTCAGTTGTCTTTCTATCTATATGTAAGTTAAAAAAAAGGTGATCAGAATCCGAATGCTACTTTTATCTATAATTAGGTGTTGAGTTGGGCGCATTGAATGATGAAAGCAAGGGGGCGAGGGGCACCGGCCGTGACACGCTCCTCATAGCATAGCAGCATCGCACATGGCCTCTGCTCTTTTCACGTTCATTTTAAACGTGAAATCGCCCACACGCGGACGCGGTTCTCTGCTCTTTATGTTATCGTCCTAAAGTTCTTCGCCTCCGTGTTCTAATTTATTCCACGTCATCGTAGGCTTAGGCGCCCCGTCATATTTTAATACCGCAGCATTTTACATATGGGTAAATCTGCGGTTCCAAGTCGGGAGTCGGTTCTTTTAGATTTTATCTTCTTCCGTCTTTATCATCCGTCTGTTGTGTCAAATTCTTCACAAAGGGCCTTCCTTTTTAATTATTCGAGCACTTTTTTCGCACTCCAAGAATTTGTCACTTTCGAGGCGACGGTGCAGACATGATCTTGGAACCCAAAACTCATTTCCATTTCCCCCTGCTTCACATGTCTCATCTTATTATCTCTTGCATTGTTATGGATTCTGGATGTTGCTACTTGCTATTGCTATTAGTTTGGCCATGACAAGCCCTCCAAAACTCAACGTTACCCCCGAACTGTGTTCCTCCCTCTTTGTCTAGCCCCCCCCCCCGGTTCTCACAGTCTCACAATGGAGGTACAAATTCTACGATTATCCTCTGTTAAGAAGACATAGGAAACTAACAACAATTATAAACCCTTGGGAAGATAGATCGAAATCTCGACAAGTAAAGGACGTGAAGGCCACTGTCTACTGGTTTTAGTCAGTTGCGCCTCCTTAGCTATTACTGTTAGTGGTTGTTTGGATTGGTAGCAAGACTTCTCAAAAACAGATTTTTCAACCGTAATTTATAAAATATATAGACTGAGTAGATGAAAAAAAGCAAAAGAAATAAATTGCTTCCAAACAAGCAGTCTCTCGCCCGTGGCTGTAACTCTTGCGGTGTAAGATGTTTCATCAAGAAAACGCTTTTTATGAATAGTGCAGATGACCGTTTACAACGCTTGTTTTATCCGATATTTCGTAGTGTAACTTCATAGACAGCACACCACAATTCGAGTATTGAACAGCCTGTGAAAAATGCGGACACCATACTTCTTAACAAGTATTAAAGGGACCCTTGTTTTCTTACCTTACTGGACGGAACAGAATTTGTGTTATTAAAAAAATAGAGAATAGAATTTCAAATACACTCACGTATGTGAGCAAAATTATACAAATCTATCTAATTTGAGGCGGCCGGGACATTTTGTGTATAACCGGAAATCTCTGTACTCGGCCCACCTAAGGAGGGGGCCGGACTGTCTCAGTGATGTTATTCTCGTCAGCGAGTAGATGACTCCTTCACATTCACAGTACTCATAGAAGGCCCAGTGTTTTCAGCTGCTGAACATGCTCGAGTGGGAGAGATGGGGGAGACCAATCAGACCCTGCCATCTCGTCATCAACATCCTCAACCACATACTCCTATGATAACAAGCAAAACAATCAGATAATCAAGTTCAATTCAGAATGCTTATTGGGACCTTTTGCGTCAACTTCGAACATGCATTACTAAATTTGTCCATATCGCAATATCAGCATCAACTTTCAAATTTCAATCCCTCAAACTGAGTGCTGAATTTTCATCAACAATACAAACTGGAGGCAACAAGACGCTTTGACTTACAATGCCAAATGGACAAAAGAAATGAAAGTGAGCCAATCGCACCTTTGTTAGCATCCTTTTTGCAAGGATATGATAATGCCGCTGCCATATCCGTTGTCCTACCATAGTAGCCACCAGTGCACTGTAAAATATCCCTATTACAGTAAAAAGTCCTAGAACAATCAATGCCATTATGAATAACAGGGGCAACCCCGCTTCCCCAGCACCTCCCAAGCAACCACCACATTCAGTAGCCATAGTTCCGCAACTCTCGAAGCATGCAGTGCAATCAGTCCACATACAAAGAGTGCCCGGCAAATGACAGTCTGCACAAACTCTGCAGCAACAAACAAGATCAACCTCGCACTACCGTTCTGGATCATAAATTGGCAGCTCACATACGATACTTCTTATGACACAACATAATTTCATCTGTTTAGCATGTGGAAGGATCTATAGGTAAAATATGCATTTTGTACTTTTTCTCTCCATAAGAAGGATGGTTTTCAATAAAGTAAAATCTCTGGCACAAAGAGGACCAAAAACAATTTAAAATGAATCATCATAGTAATGCTTCGGGTGGATGGTAAGAGTTTAATCACGTGGCCCAGCTGTATCAAATTTTCATGAATAAATAGGAGTACAGCAACTACCCAGGTTGACAGCAACAAAGACATAATTCTCGACAAGGCTGAGCTAAATCATTGCGAACCCTTCGATCATAACAAGTAATGAAGCACCCAGAGAGGCCAAGCAAAGCAAAGAACAATAGTGCTCCTACATTTGACAGTACAAACATAAAAATTATGCCCAAAATAAGAATATTCTATGCGGAAAAAGAAAACTCTGAAATAGACTTGTATAAGCATTGGATAACTATGCAAAATCTTAATATTTTACCACATATATAGTAAAAGCTAAGCTCGCTATCAAAACCCCAGATAAGACGAAGCCAATACTGCTGGTAACCATCTATTAGATAAACCAAATAAGCAAGTGAAGTAATGACCTACATACAATGGAAATAAGGTTTTGAATTAGAACTAGAAAAGGACAAGCATCTATATGGCTAAGATAATGGGAATCGTTCACCTACAAGCTGGACAGCCAGAAATATAAACAAAATGTCTCTGGTAACAAAGAATCGAAACTTCAAGGTTCGCCATTTCCTATCAGCAGCAACATGCACACGCAAATGATAAGGAGCCTTGCAGGTTGTGCAGTGAGCAAATGCAAACCCTTCCTGCAAAAAGATGAGCCAACAGCCATATCCATTATGCATGAAGCAACGTCATGTGTAGAACTATTTGGCAGGAAACAATAGTCCAAATGAGCTCATACTTTACAGTTTTTCCATCATTTGGTAAAAGCAAAAACTCAGCCAAAGAGAAGAGGATTATTACAATGAATAGCCAAGACAAGTTCCAGGAAATCATAATACCCACATGGTATGTTATAGCCCAACAAATATGAGAAACATAAGGTTTGCAAACAAGCCAAAGAACACAATTTACGTCACAGCAGAAGATCTGGAGGAGTGATCTTCCCAAAAAAAAAGAAAAGATTACAGGGCACACAGAGCAAACCAAAGTTCTATATACGAACTAAAAATTAAATAGAAAGTCAAATCTTTTCATCACTGGTAATGGGAAGACGCAGCCAGGAAGCAGAGAGTGATCAGAAAGAGGGCCAAAAAGAAAAAAACAGAGAGATTTGGAATCAATGAAAAATTTACGAGACGAACAAATAAGAACATCAACAGGTTCTTGTTGAAACAATCAAGGGACAGCCCAGTGCACAAAGATCCGGAGGTCCTTGTTGAATCAATAAGATGAAGAAATAATTCACTGATGACCAGAAACGGCCAGCAGTCAGGTCAGTTTCCCAAATGCAATCATCATGCGTGAATTAACAGCCAGACTAAGGTCTCTAAACAGATGTGGTTCCTTGCTGTGGCCACATTATATCATGCTTTGATAGTTAAATCAAAATTTGATGGATAGTCTGATATTGCATTCCTACCTTAACAGCTCGCCAATGATCCAAACACTCTCGATGTACATATTTTGATGTGCCCTTGCACTTGCAAGGAGCTATGAAATCTCTACCTGTGCAAAAGAGAGAAGATAAGATACATGTTCACACACCCGATGCAGACATCAAAAGTGACACAAGCACATTTTTTTGCAGCAAGTTAATATACAACTACAATATCCTTCCCAGAAACTCTTTAAATCCCTCAGTGATAATTGAGGCATCCACGACATCATAATGCCTATGACAAATAAAAATAAGTCGTATAGCACTTAAAGAAGTAACCATGAAATGGTGCAAATGATTGCGTAATCATGTAGTTCAAGTTCAAATTCCAATTGAAACGAGCGTAAGAATACCGCGTTGAATTACTCCATGTAATCAAAATAACTGCGATCATGAAGTCTGGTTCGTTATTAGATGTTATTTGATACGATAAAATTGAGCTTAGACAGAAAATTTAGATTAATGAGCAATTATTTAATTAAAAAATTCATTATTTCACATTCAAGCAAAATGAGCTTGGCAGACGTATTGATTTGCCTGGAGTTCATAGCTTAACCAAAATAAAATAAACTAAACGCATGCTCTGCCCAAAATAAATAAATGCACGTAATTCAGAATAACTTTTCATTTCATTTATCACGCCAGAAGCCTAGCTGAGATTTGACTTCAAAAGATATCTGAAATACAATCTGTCCTAACCGGGAAATGAAAATAAAAACAAAAGAGCCCATGGCCAAACTACCGTCAGTTTCGAGACAAATTCGGCATTGAATTTGTTCGCTCGGACCGGCCTCAAGGTCGATCTCGCTAGGGTCAGTGATCGGCGGTGGAGAGACCAGGGGTGAAGAGTCTGAGTGATCCGCCATTAAAATACTAAAAAAATAAAAAAAACTTTAGAGGGCAAGGTAGAATTGAGATGTGAAATAGAGTTTAGAAGT